ATAAATAAGGTTTATATTATTTTTATCCCAATATATTTATTATATATTTTATAAGTTATTAATATAGGTATATTTTTATTAATAAAATGAAATTATTGTTATAAATTTATTAAAGTATACTAATTATATTATATTTTTAATTTTGGTAAAAGAAAATTTATTACAGTTTATTAAATAATATAAAAAGAACGTTTAACCAAATATAATATACTAGTTAGTTGGAAGGCTACGGGGATTTATCCTAAGGATTGGAATAAATTGTTAAATTATTGGTTTGTGTTTTGGGAAGTTTCCGGTATTACCCTGGCTTTTTTAAGCCTTATTTCTAACCTAAAAAAACTTAATTTTATCGAAAATATAGCTTTAATCTTTTTAATAACACCTTTAAATTTATAAAATATTAATATTTTAATTAAAAAATTATTTAAGATTGATATAATATTTATTAAATTTGTAATAAAATTTTTATTTAATAAAATTGGTAAGACCTTTAATAAAACTATTATAAAATTAGCTATAACAAAAACCTGCGTTGAATATTTAAAAAAGGTATTAGTAAATACGAAGCCGTAAAAACGGCGCAAAATATTACCTAACCCAAATTTAATATTTATAAATATTAAGGCTATTATGAAAGAGAAGGAGTAGTTAAAAGCTTAGGAATTAAGTAATATAATTATAATTAACAATTCCAATATTAATTTAGAAAATAAAACCTTGTTAATTAAATCGATAGTAAAAAACTATATTATTGTTAAAATATAATAGATTGTAAATTAATTAAATTTAATTTAATTAAATAACGTTGAATTGAAGTTAAGATGCTTATTTTGAAGGTTTAAAAATTTGAGGTGGCCCCCATTAGGGTGGCCCCCGTAAGGGTGCTTTGACTTAATTAGTGTTACCTGTTGCCAGCCGTGAATAGCATGATGATATGACATCGTGGCGATTGAGAAATGGCCGGGGCGGGACGGGGCGGGAGCAGCTATATCGAGCCAGAGAGGAGGTTTTCGGTAGTGCTTTGTCGGCAACGCTATTGGCAGAATTTTACACAAGTTCAGTTCACCCTTGCGAGGACGAAGATCCTTGTTATGTTGGGTTTATCTTCTTCTCTTTCTTGCAGCGCAAAATAGGCAAACAGTTATTCCCCTCCAAAAAAAAATTCGAACGTTGAATGCTGGCGGATATGTAGCCCCTCTCTAGCCTAAAACGACACTTGTTTACCTTCTGTAGGCATCTATGTCGTGTACTTTCTGGTAGTGCCTAACAGCTTCTATTGCTGGACATCACAAAGAAGGCTACTGCGTCTTTATTTTCTTTGCTTTTCTGTTGACCTTGCCGAGAAGCATTGGTAATTACAGCAGGAACGGTGGGATATTTCCAACTCAAATTATATAGAGGCATGCACGTATGCATCTGAATACATCTTAAAATAGCACATATAGAATATAGACCTTGCCTAACCTTAGGTTTCCGTGCGGCCCCTTACGTACCCGGGTAACTCATAATCTATCTGTTTCTTGTCTCCTATTTCCTTCGATGAGACTGCCTGGTTGTACAGGGCTAGCTATGTATGTACGACTCAGCCTCCGGGGTAGACCCAGAGTAAAACACTAGGATAAACCTATAAGAATCCAAGTCAACACACCCCGTCTACGACTATACTATGGACAGAAAGGGACCCAAACCCCCTATACGGACTTTTGCTTGGTTCTGCCTTGACGGGATTGCTGGCAGCTTGACATTATCTAGTTGTTAATGCCTTGATATGTAACGGCAAATGACGGATCGATGTTGTGCAAGGTAGGACATGAGAAACGTCTACCGAGAGATCATGTATCTGTTTACACGGAGCATGGTATTGTAACGCAATTAATTTTACTTACACCATTATAGTTCTTTGACTATATTCAGATAACCACTCCTATTATTTCTGTTCGTTTGGTATTTGTCTGAGATATGAACGAGACATAAATGGCACCCATAAAACATAGTCTTGAGTACGAGGTTTGTGACAACTCTCTCCCCTGACGCACTAATCTACCTGTGGAGATGAAATTTCCAACCGTATGGGATTGGGACAAGATAGATCCATGCTGAACCTATAAGTTTTGTACGTACCCCCTCTAACTACCGAGGCATCTATGGCCCAATCCTAAAATAGTTGAGAAAGCTGGGTCCCGTGAAACGTGGTACGAACAACGAGATGAGCTCAAAACTAGCACTAAGTAAACCTAGTAGCCGGGAGTAACACTCCTGAGCGCCACAGAGACAGATCATGTCAAATCCCGTTTGTGCAACTTCTGGTATATCCTGGACTGGGTCGTCACATCTGCGGGTGCTTCATTCAACTTGTTTGTCTTATCAATAGTAGCAATTTACTCGGCCATCTGAAACGAGAAATGTACTATTCATCTAGACATGACAAACATGTTTAAACAGCACGAATAAATTATATGGCGTCGAATTTAACTTCTGATACCTCTTCTAACCGCTGTACGATAACTTTAAGCCGGAGCCGCAATACATCATGTTTTCATCAAGTTTGATGGGCCTTCTTCACAACGTGCATTCCATCATCCGAGCCTAGCCTTGTTGATATATCACATGATTATATTCTCCCCTAGAGGCGCAGCCAATTCTCAGGAACTTGGATATTGACATTCTAGGCCTAGGTAGTTCGCTCTTGTGCCACCTTGCATTTAATTAACAAATAACTCTAGGGACTGTTCAAATACGGCATCTATCACATAGGGCTACATAGAGCTAAATAGAGATAGTTTCTGGGGATCTCTAGATAAGATTAGTTCTATTGGGAGGGTGTGGATTCCGTCTGGTCTATCGTCCTACTCGTCCCACTCCTTACACTTCCTACCCCCCTAATTAGAGTATCAAAGGAGACACATACTGACAATATTTCTTTGTCCATATAATTACATGCTGCGGTGTTTTCCTCAGCAAATAGTAGAATTTATGTGTTTGGCTAGTCGACATTTGTAAAATCCTTGTATTGTCTTTTAAGAGGATAGAGGGTTAAAATATTGCCGCGAAATATACTGTTTAGAGTATCCTATGATCTAGTCCGAATTCCTGGGAGTTGAGTTTGTGTTGGCGCTAGAAAGAATTAAAATCATGCGAGAGAGATCGATCAATAAGCGCTTAACACCTGTTGTGTGGCTCTGCTTTTCTTTTTCTTTATTATTATTTCCTTTTTGTGCTATCCATATATCTGTATATATTTCTTTAATATTCTTAGATGATGTCCGAATACGATGTCTTAACAATAGAAGACGTTGGCACTAACTTGTACACAGTCCCTCTCTAGGAGTTATCAAAGGTTAACCTTTTGTGACGACTAAATTGTTACGACTACCGGGCCGACTACTATTTTCATGGACCCCACGTGTTATGTGCCTGGCCTTTTTTATTATCTGGCTCTCCACGTTCCATTAATAACTAAGCAATTCGGTCTGTATTCTAATACTACGAGACTGCTTATTAATTCCTACTAGTTAGGTAGAAGCTGGGGGAACGGACAAGGACATGACGGGTAAAGCCGTATTCAATGGAGTTTGTAACATAAATAAACAAGTGGCAATACTCGACCCTTTAGGTCTTGTAGTAATAACAAACACCTTGTTGTGTTAGACTTTTCTTTAACGTATAGTTATTCAGAAACACCCTCGGTGTATTTTTATCTCATAGAGCTACGCCTATCCAATGACATGAATTTGATGTTACATGTCCTCTTTGCTATTTATTATTTAGCGTAATTACCGGCGTCTGATCCGTCTATCCGAATGGTTATGTACTAGGTGGCGCAGTTGGAATGCGGTCATAATTCGTTGTGATTTACTGCAGAAAGTTAGCCACCTGGCGGCATGATGGGGATCCGTTGATAATATGTTTTGTGTTATGTTCGGTGAAATTAAACTTCTTACAACATTCCTTGTTGCAACCTCACAGCCTTATTGTAAGCTGAGTATCTCAAAACATACCTGTATCTCCCTAGGTAGGTACATGCATAACATGAGGTAAGTAAGACTAGTAACATTGTCCATGCAGGTACGTTATCATGTAAACCAATTGTGCTCGACCTGATGTTGCTTACATGTAGTTTTGGAAGCTAGCTACATGAGTACCTAACGTATAACAAGGTTGTTGGTTCTAATTTGATAGAATAATACTCTAAGTCTATACCCTCTTAGATCAGATCACTGCCTAGCGAATATTATAACAATAATACTCTAGAACCCGCGGACCCATATGGTTTTATAGACGGGGGCGGTGTCTAAGAAATAATGAGTAATGAGGATGCGGGCGCACTTAGTATACTATAGATAGTTATACAGCCAGAAAAGAAAGAAGCTTCGCCAGGTTAAGTTCTAGTTAAGCTCTAGGCTCGGAACAATCCTCTTAGCTCCTTGACTTACTGCGTGCAAAGATCTACGCGGTACTTTGGGTGTTGATATATCCTCCCCCTTTTATCTACGCAAAGACACTAAGAAACTAACTCGCCGGATAGAACAGCCACTCTCGACAGCTCAACCTAGACCATTTCCCTTCGGCTCGGAATGGACATGAGCATCCCGGTTTATTACTAATTGCATCTCTCACCTTTAAATACTACATGGGTTTAGACATGGATTCGAACGTTTATACCTATATAACATATTCGTTAATATTTCAGGCACATACATTAATACTTTATACCATTTATTCCCAAGTCAAATTAGTTACTGGCTCTCTTCAACAGGCTTAACACAATATCTCCTTCATTTATACTCCTACTACTTCCTCAAGACTGCAGCATACAAACCATTTTTAAGCTCATCGACAATTACTTTTTCCAATCCAATTTAGACATGGTCCGGTTGTTCCTCATAGATCCAATTACTTATTCAAACGTCTAAATTGCCTGTACTTGTATCACATAGACCCCAGTGTTGCATCACAATAGTCCCCTTTTGGTAACTAATAAATGACTCTGGACACCCCTGATGGTTAGCCTGATCTATGATGCAACAGAACCCATTGTTGTAGTAGGCATTGGGTGTCGTTTCCCCGGTAGCGCCACATCTCCTTCAGAGCTATGGCAGATGCTCTGCCGTGGAGAAAGTGCCTGGTCTGAAATTCCCAAAGACCGTCTTAATGTCTCTAGTTACTTCCATCCAAGCGGAAACTGAGAAGGCAGTGTATGTACTCCTTCGGAATCCCGTGGTATAATAGTGGCTAAACTTCTGGTCTAGATTCCTTTCACAGCCGGCCATTTCCTGACCCAAGATGTCGGCGCGTCTGACAGCTCGGTAAGCCCTGACTTATATGATTCAAAGAACAGAGCCTTGCTACTATTTGCAGTTCTTTTCAATCCTAGCCGATGAAGCTAAGGCGATAGATCCGCAACAACGAATGCTTCTCGAGGTTTCCGTAGAAGCTCTAGACAGCGGTATAGATGCCAAAATCCCTTCCCGTTTAATACTATGTTAATATGTGCTTTTAGCCGGAGTTGACCGCACGGCTTTAAAGAAGAGCGATACGGGAGTTTGGATTGGCTCCTTCGTGAAAGGTGTGTATGCATGAGATGAACATCGTCCGATATCTTTGACGCTTCGCTCTAATAGTATTATAGATTATGAGCAGATTGTTTTGCGTGACCCCGATAACTCCCCTAAATATGGTGCGACCGGCAATGGGATAGCGATCATGTCGAATCGCATTTCATTCTTCTTAGACATCAACGGCCCAAGCATGACCATCGACACAGGATGCAGTGCTAGCTTAGTTTGTGCTCACAATGCTTGTCAAAGCCTTCGTAACGGAGAGATCGATATTGTAAGTTTATACGACCGTAGCATGCCGACGAGAAACCACTCACATCCGTCTCAAATTCATCACATATTATCCCGTACGAATAATTCAGACGCACTGCTAACGACCTTGTTAGGGGCTCGCTGGCGGTGCCGGGTTAATCCTGACGCCTAATATTATGATGCTTATGACAGCGCTAAACTTCTTGAGCCCGGATGGTAAATACTACACGTTTGATGCACGTGCTAATGACTCCGGGGTGAAGGAATTGGTATCGTGGTATTGAAGCGTCTCTCAGATGCTATACGAGACAACGATAACATCCATGCCATAATTCGAGGTTCTAATGTTAACTGAGACGGGCGCACACCTGGTACGTATATTATTAGGTCTAATAGGGATACCGCTAATTTCATCGTAAGGTATTACTCTACCCAGTGCGGAAGCTCAGCTTCGTAATATAAGAACCGTGTATAAGAGAGCCGGTCTCCCTGTCGACAACACGGCCTATGTCGAATGTCACGGCACCGGTACACAGGCTGGCTATTGGAGAGAGTTGAAAGCAATTTCAGACGTGTTTTGTGCAGAGCGTAGTTCCGACAACCCTATATACGTTGGTTTAGTCAAGACAAACATTGGTCACCTCAAAGGATGCGCCGGAATTGCCGGGTTGGTTAAAGGGATCCTCACCATTGAGAATGGAATGATTCCGCAGCATCTCAACTTCGAGGCACCTGGAAATCTAGCTATTGACTTTAACGCCTGGAAAGTTAAGGCAAGGAAATATACCAAATCACAGATACGTTCTTGACTAATATTATACAGGTTCCGATCGGCAATAATACTCCCTGGACGACCGAAGGACTCAGGCGTGCGAGCGTCAACTGTTTTGGTTTTGGTGGAACGTAAGTAACTTCAACACCTATAATATCAGTCTATTGAGACTTGTTTTTGCTTCAGTGCTAAGTGCTTGTTGCTATTATCTCCTAGGGGCTACCCGCTCTTCGGAATATTACATACTTGATTCCACAATAATTTGCTAACTTGAGTACTAGAAACGCACATGTTATCCTCGATGACGCTGCTCACTACCTGGCTCAAAGGGGGCTCTCGGCACACCGCAATACCACACTTCGTGATAGCACTCGGAACCTGCCAAACCTCAGCACCACGACGCACCAGTGGGCTAGATCAGTGCAGGGGATGCCAATTCCTACCCGCGATTCGAAGACACATCTCTTCATTTTTTCGGCGCATGAACAGAAGGTATTAACTCAAATGCTCAAAGACTACGCGTCTTACACCGGAAGGCAACTTAAATCCTCGCCTGGAAATATTATGGAAGATTTTGCATACACTCTCGGTTGCCGGCGGACACAATTACAATGGAGAGCACCAGTCGTTGCGCGATCACCCGAAGAGCTCGTTCAAAAATTAGTTAACTTACCAATTGGCGATCTTATTAGGGCACCGGGGGACGGAAGCTCTATCAGATCAGCCCTCTATCAGATCAGCCTTTGTATTTGGTGGACAAGGAGCACGATGGTTTTCTATGGGTAGAGAGCTTCTCGGATTTGACGCCTTCTTGCAATCGATCGAGGAAGCAAGCTTATATCTGCAGACCAAGCCGAACGCTCCTTTTAGCCATCTTGCAGAGCTTCTCAGGGATGAAAGCCACTCCCTGGTCAACCAACCCGAGATTTCCCAGCCAGCAACTACAGCAATACAAATGGCCATTGTAGACCTGTTGACGAAATATTTTGGAGTTAGCCCAAACTATGTCTGTGGTCATTCTTCTGGCGAGATTGCAGCAACTTACACTCTGGGGGCTCTCTCACGGGAGGACGCCTGGGAATTGGCCTTTCACCGGGGACGCTGTGCTGAAGCTATGCTGACTTCTAAGAACGAAGAATATCTGAATGGCAGCATGCTTGTTGTTGGCCTACCAGCTTCCGAAGTACGGAAGTATGTGGACCTAATCGGCAATGATAAAGTGGTGGCTTGTATTAATAGTCCAGCTTCTATGACATTGTCTGGTGACGAAAGTGCAATTAAAGAGCTCCAGGGAACTTTCCAGGACACAGGTATCTTCAATCGACTTCTCGTTGTAGATATCGCATACCATTCGCACCACATGAAGCGTTGCGAAAACGCATATCTCCAATCGATCGCGCACATCAAACCGAAGAAGCCGAGGAATGGGACGATCACGCATCCTCACAATTTAAGAGGACTCGTTACGCCGAGTGACATCCGAGTAGGAACTAACTCCGTGTCTCTCAGCAACGACGTTCCCCATCATGTATCCATCCGTTACTGCACGCCATTAGTTGGGCCTGGATCAGAGGCTCTCGGCCGGCGGGAGGAAGACGCCTCCCACCTCTCCCTAAGCATTTTCTTTCTCTCTATCGCTCCCTATATTTCGTTACCTTAAATTATAAATTATAACAAAACCCAAAAATAAGTCAAATAGACAATGCCTGACGGCAAATCGCGCGATAAAGCGCCTCGAACACTATGCCTGACAGCTAATCCGCAATGGAATAGTGCCTACGGCTAGAACAGGCTTTATATCTGAAAAGGCGTGATACGGAACGGTTTAAAAAGCGAATTAACGGCGCCTTAGTGGGCGACCTTCGAATACCAATATTATACTGAACACGAGCTTACCCGGAGGAGCTAACGAGAGCGGCTAGAGCATTATCATGTGTGCTTCTAGGGTTAGATTTGCAGGATATTAGGAACCAATATTGCGTGTATATAAATAGATACTTTGTATATAGCTTTAGATAGCTTTGCACGCCGTATACCCTTAGGGAGGTCTGCGAGGGCTGGTCCTTCCCCCTCGCCCCGGCGTTAAATATACCAGCCAACCAACCAACAACGCCATGAGTTGGGAGGGACTTTTCTCCAGAGTATTGGGTGAGGAATATGGTGTCTCCGGTCCTTTTTGCCGAAGCCATGCATCGGATGTTGAGCGTCAAAAGTAGTGACAAGCCAATATTCATTTTAGAAGTTGTATCACATTCATCACTCCAAGGCCCTATAAGGCAAATCCTTGATGCCGAGGAAAAGCTTAGGCAACGGCCGGTTTATGCATTCGTGCTTCACAGAGGCAAAGACGCGGCTACGACTTTACTGGAAGCCGCTGGGAAGCTTTGGGGCAATGGGTTTGACGTCGCCATGCCCTGGGTGGTTATGAGGAATGTGCAGACTGAGCGACCTAGGCTACTCGTCGATCTCCCAAAGTACCCTTGGAATCACAACAAGGTATATTGGCACGAGTAACACTTGTCGCTAGCCAATCGTTTCCAGGTTCATGGAAGATATGATCTCATCGGGTGACCAACAGCTGATTCTATTCCGTTTCAAACCCGATGGCGTGGCTTCTCCCGCGTCTCAGAGAACCCGTGGATCTTGGACCACCAAGTGCAGAGAACAATAATATATCCGGCCGCTGATATGGCTACTATGGTATTCGAAGCTGCTAAGCAACTGGCTTCAGAGCAGGTTTCAGGCTACCAGATCACCAAGTTCAAATTTCAGAAAGCCATGATTGTCCCGGATACTCCACATGGGTTAGAATATGCTTTGAACCTTAACAAAAGGGACAATCAAATGGCTGTAGCTCCTATCGGGAATTCCGATTCTCCCTCATTAGCCATGCCTTCAGCCTCTTTCGAGTTCTCTATATACTCCAAACAACTCGACAAGCCTTGGGAGGAGCACGGCAGTGGGTATGTAACAATTCATTACCATACAACTCCTAAGGAGGTCAACAGGTATTATCAGGCGTACCTCGACGCAAAGAAGGAGTGCGTTGACCCCGTTAATCCAAGACAGCTTTATGAGAGCCTAGATATTATTGGCATGAACTATGGTCGGCTATTCCAGAATATCGAGTCTCCCCATAGATGGGACGGTGTTTGTGTCGGCACTATTCGTATTCCGGACACAAAATCTGTCATGCCTGCAAAGTTTGAGTATCCGCATATTATTCACCCGAAGACACTAGATTCGGTCTTCCAAACCGCCTTAAGTTTTGGAAATGGTCCGATGGTTTTCTCTTTCCTTGGAAATCTCTATCTATCGGCTAACTCTCCCATGCTCTCAGGGGCCGGTAAACAACTTGCTGCTCATACCTGCGCAAAACTTAACGGACGGCTTAGTGCATCTGCATTCTTTGTTGTTTCGGACCAGTCTTGGTTGGAAACATCTGGTGCTAATCCACTCATGATAATTGAGGATATGACTTTTACCGCCTTGGACCGAAGTGCGACACAAGAGCTCGGTTTCCTCCCGAATCATCGTAGTCTCTGTTCCGAGATTATTTGGGAGGAATTCAACATTTCGGAAAACTCTAACGAGCAGCATATTGAGCTGACTGACAACCTACTTATCCTTATTCCTGTAGATGCTAGTCCAAATATCAGTGGGCTTGAAGCTGAACTCTCTAAGAACCTGAACTGCCAGTTCCGAACATTAAGTAGCATCAAGGAGAATGAGATACTTCCAAGATACTGTATTTCCATCTTGGAAGCCGACGGACAAGCACTACTTTGGAAATGGACAGAACAAGAATTCCTTGCATTCTAGAATGTAGCTTCCGCTATGAAAGGGATTTTCTGGATCACTCGTGCTTCACAGCTCGAGGTTAAGAACCCGCAATCTAGTCTAACGCAGGCTTTAGGAAGGACTATACAATCAGAGTATCCTAAGAAGAAATTAGCCACATTTGATGTCGGCATCGATCTAAATTTCTCCTCTACCATAGTAATATCATTCACTCAGACACTCTTAAGACTGATCGCGCGATCTTTCTTTAAACCCCAGATTGTAGGGCCTATTGAAACGGAATATATCGAACGTAATAGGAAAATCATGGTACCAAGGCTGATTCCCGTGAACTCGCTGAATTCTATGATTGAGCGTGGCTCTGCACCAGCAGAGCCAGACCAACAGACGATGCCTAATCCGCACGAAAGGCCCCTCAAGCTTGAGGTTGGACAGGTAGGCGACACGGGAGGCTTGTACTGGGGCGATGACCCTGACGCCAACCTTCTGTCTCCGGATGATGCAAGAGTCCGAGTGATTACAACTACACTTGGCGATCTGGACCGCGAAATTATGCATGGGCGCGTGGAGAAGGGCGACCTGGGGACAGATGTATACGGTGTAGTTGACCAGATTGGAGAGAACGTTACGAGCGTTTCTCCGAGTGACTACGTTGTGGGGATTGCCCGTGGATCTCTACGAGACTTCGTTACATGTCATCATCGACTCCTGTATAGAGTACCGAACTACCAATCTGAACTTCAACCTATCTATCTACCCACAAGCTTCTCTATTGCTAGATATGCGCTTGGTAAGCTCAAGAGTGGGCATACTATCCTAATTCATGCTGGCGCGGGGACATTCGGCCAAACTGCGATTCAGCGTGCCAAATCTGTAGGAGCCGTGGTTTTCACCAGCGCAGAGACCGACCATGAGCGTGGCCTTCTTAGCCATGTTTGGGGACTCGGGGAAGAGTACATCCTCGACGCCAGAACAGAAGCTTTTGCTGATACGGTAATGCGTTTAACGGACAATCAAGGCGTAGACTTGATCTACGACCTAGTTGCAAGAAGCCGAGATTTGAATATCAGATGTGTTAAAGAAGGTGGGCTCTCTTAGTAAAATAAACGGCAAGGAGATCTATTCGCTAATTGTTTTTATAGGTGGCCGTGTGATTGGTTTCGCTGACAAACCCGATCGTAACGATGTGACGACGCGCGAAACTGATGTTATCGGCAAGACATTTAGCTGTATAATCATATATGTGTCACATCTCATTAAATACCAACCAGACCGCCTTGGTGATGCTTTGGCATCCATTTACCCCAAACTCTTATCCTGGCAGTTTAGGAGCTGGAATCAAGCTTTGCAAGATGTATACGACTACTCGGACCTGGCGGCTGCTTTCGCAGCATTGGATTCAGACACAGTAGGCGCCCATATCTATTGCTGGCGACACACATCGAAACCTATTCCAATCATCCCACGAACTCCCTCTTCTATGAGCTCCTACTTACGCGGAGGTGCCACTTACGTCCTGTCTGGTGGACTCGGTGGGCTCGGCATAGAGGTTGCTAAGTTGCTGGTGGCCAATGGTACTAAGAACATCGCGTTCTTAGGACGATCCGGCGCGACGAACGACCTGGCTAAATCTTGCGTTAACCTTCTCCACACGAAGCGGGTCAATGTGAGAGTTTTCAAGGTGGGCATCTGTAATACCGAAACCCTTAGAAAGACTGTAAGCGAGATTTAGCAATCTATGCCTCCCGTGAAAGGTATATTCCATTGTGCGGCAGTACTGCGCGACTCGGTCTTCGAAACTATGAAGTACGAAGACTGGAAATTGGCAACAAAGCCTAAGACAGTAGGTTCCTGGAACCTCCACCAGGCCTTTGGCAACGATCTAGACTTTTTCATATTCCTGTCTAGCTCAGCTGATATTATCGGAAATCGCGCACAAGCGAACTACGCAGCGGGCAATGCGTTCCAGGACTCGCTTGCTAGACATATTAAGACAACAAGTGAGGGCAAAGTGAACGCTGTATCGATTGATCTAGGCCCAGTCCTTGAAGCAGGAATGCTTGCTGACGATCATGAGACGCTGGATAAGCTCAAAGCCAGCAGGTTCTTTGGAACCAGACGCGAAGATATCAAATGCATAATCGAGCGAGCAGTAACCGGTTACATGGAGGACGGCCAGAGGATACCAGTGCAAATTGTTACAGGAGTTGGAACCGGCGGGTTGATCCTGCAGAATAAACCAGCGGATCCTTACTGGACGCGAACGGCTATGTTCACCCATCTTAACCAGGTGGATATGCCAGAAGGTTCGGAAGAGACTTCAGAAGAAGCCTCGGGCTCCCGGGAAGTAATGCAGAGACTATTAGCGCAGGCAACAGATGCAGAGGAGGCACGATGCATTGCTAGCAAGGGTCTTAGGGAGATGCTTTCGAAGAGCATGAATATGGACTCGGCAGGTGTGGACGAGTCTAGACCCCCCAGCGCTTTCGGTGTTGACACGCTGGTGGTAGGAGTTCGCAACTGGGTCTCTCGAGAGTGTGAGGCTGATGTGAGCATCTTTGAGGTGCTCAGCGAGACCAGCATTGGTGATCTCAGCGCCACAATTGTGCAATAGCGAGAAAAGGAGTAGCAGAGGCCAAAGTGAGTGGTTGTGTGGTAATGCAGTGACATAATGAGGGGTTGATTGTGATTTTGCTTCAAAATGTTCATACTTTGCTACATCGTATATAATACCTGATACGTATATAATGATACTATACATACTTCTCATCTAACTACAGGTACCTATGTATCTTAGATGGATAGTACATGATAATCTGGTGTCAGATGAGAGTTTATTCGCGGATGAAGGTGGTGACGTATAAATGGATGACGACGCGGTCGACGACGATGCTGCAAGATAGATGCGCGTATGGTAACAATACGTGGAGAATTGGATGGCAAGGATATTATGTATGTATATTGCTTAGCGGGGGATGACGAAGTTGGCTTTCAATTTAATGGCACGATTGATAGAAGACAATTTCAGCCCGCGTAATCCTTCTTATGTACCTCCGTACACTGTTGTATGAGGTACCTAAATGTACCTATGTATATATTCAGTTGGTTAGGTAGGTACTTTCTACATTTAGGTCTGCATAAGTACCTATAACACATAAGGCAGGCGCCCTTAATCAAGGCTGTACCTACTTGGCCAAGATTTCCAAGCTTCTCGCTTACGGCTTTCTATTGGACTTTTGAGTGGACCTTCTCACTTAGGCTCACTTAAGGTGGGTTTAATACTACTTCTTGACCCAAGTTTCATTACACATCAGTCTGATTACACATTAACAACCAAAAAAAAAAGCCCATAGGCGATGCGAATTTGCTTGGCGGCTCATCAACAACTCATGATGAATCTCTTTAATTCATCCGCTCCTTTATTTTTGGTTCCTTTTCTCTTTTTATTCCTCGTCGCCTCTTCTAGTCTTCTATTTGTACCTATTAACAATAGAGGCAGAGAGAAGTAGGTTATACCGGCAAGTTGATTGTTCGAGACCTTCGTTATCTTCTCTCTTGACGTTTGACGATTAGCGGCACATCACTCAACCACCAACCACACTTGAGTATATCTGATTGCGTACGCAATATACTCGTATCGGCCTATCGGATATCAACCCCCCTTTTCTTCTCTGTATTATTTAGTTCTTCTGCGTCTGTGTGTATCTCGTCAACTTGTCCACTTGTTAACCGTCAATTGTCTTGAACCGGATCATCGGCGCGTGGCGACCAGTCATAAAACTAGGCCCCAGCTAGCTTCTTACCTAGGCCAACTTGGTGGATCGTACCCTTGGACTGGGCTGCCTGGGGATCTGCCTGGGATCTGTCTGGATCTACCTCTCTGCCTTGATAATATCTTGCGTCCAACTTTTGTCGCTCTCTATCCCTTCTCCCCTCCTAAGCCGGCGTTTCCTTTACTTCAAGTAGTTGTCGTGTCCCTTCGCTATGAGGTTCCTTTCAGCTCTCGCTACCGCGTCCGTCGCGTCTATCGCGGTAGCTACCGACAATACAAATTCCCAGAAAGTCATCCCCGTCAGCTTTGGCAGATCGACGAACAGACAGCCCGCGCTTCATAGACGTGCCGGTACCTATTCGCAAGAACTAAACAACAACTTGACCGGTGGTGGTTACTACGCTCAAGTCACCGTGGGAACACCTCCTCAAACTGTCGACTTGGTTGTCGATACTGGGAGTAGCGATGTTTGGATACTAGATAGCCACGCGAACCTCTGTCGGTCCAAGGCAATGCAGAACTACTACGGATACTGTTTATCCACGTATGATCCTTCTAAGAGTTCGACCTACTCTATAGTTTCTCAAGACGAGTTCAGCATTCGCTATGTTGACGGTTCAGGGGCCGAAGGCGACTACATTCGGGACACCTTCAGCATCGGTGGAGCTGACATCAAAAAATTACAGATGGGCCTAGCCGAGAATTCCACCATCAACTCGGGCCTTTTAGGTATAGGATTTGCTGCTAACGTTGCTGCCCTGACGCCGTATCCAAACATTATGAATTTGTTTGAAGATCAAGATCTGATTGCCATCCAAGCTTATAGCTTGTATCTGGTATGTGGCCCCCCCTTAATTCCCAAGTACGCCAACGGCTTGTGTCGGGTGGTTTAAAGAATACTCTAATAGACTGACCATCATTATAGGACGATCTATACGCAGAGACTGGAACAATCCTATTTGGTGGCTTAGATACTCAGAAATTTATCGGCAAGCTTAAGATCGTCGATATTGAACCGGACCGCACCGGCAATTACTCCTCCTTCACCGTCCCGCTCTCATCTTTAACCACGACCGCCGACAATGGCACGATAACCAATTACACCCAATCTCCTGTCTCAGTCATTCTGGATTCAGGTACTACTTTGACTTATGTTCCCTACACTATGGCGAACCGCATCTTCCGCGCCTTTGGTGCCGTAGACGACACTTCTGGAACTGGACTTGTCTACATCAACTGCGAACACCTGGACAACAAGAATTTTACTTTTGATTTCCAATTCGGCGGCAATGACGGCCCTACCATCCAGGTCCCCATTGATGAGATGATCTTGGATAATGTAAAGCAATACATCAAACTGGGACTGGATGTGCCGTCTCTACCTTTCGATAACATCTGCAGTTTTGGCCTACAGGGGAGTGGGGACTATTATCTGCTGGGTGATACGTTCTTGCGTTCTGCCTACGTAGTCTACGATCTCACCAACAAGAAGATCGGTCTCGCTCAGGCCAATCTTAATAGCACTGAGAGTAAAATTGTGGAGATCACAAAGTCTGGGATTCCCGACGTTAGTGGTGTCGCTTCCCAGGTCATCGCAACGCAGACAGCTGGCAGTGGCAATTCGCCTTCTGGGACCTCTTCAGGTACCCCTGGCAGTGAGACCAGTGAGGGAGCCAGTTCTAGGGTTGTGCCTGCACAGAGCTGGGAGGTTCTAGTTATGGCCAGCATGGCAAGTCTGAGTTGCTTAATGGGTGCTGGGCTAGTCATGTTATAGGCGGGATAATTAAGCACCACAACACGGCAAGGCATACTTTATCTACCTAGGTACAGATGTGCTTAGAGGAACAGAAGTTTGATGAGCGTTGAACCTAGTAGAAGTCATGATACCCTAGAGATATGTAGAAACAGACGGGTTCACGCTGTACCATAGACTTTCTTACATACTCTTAGACGAGTATATTTATTTTTACTCATAACAGTGTTGACGTCGAGATGGCGACTTCCTGTATATACATAATGGGCTTATATACATAATAATGGGTTGGGTGATGAAGTATATATTAATTGACCAGAGCCGTAATGAGGCTCATCCTCTATTCCCACGACTATCGGTGCATACACGTGTTAATGGGTATCTCCCAAATGGTACATTCTCTGGTTATTAGGAGTCCAGGTAGGCATATATAGAACTTTTCATTCGGTAAACAATAGGTAATATTGAACGTAAAATAAACTTGTTGATGTTAACACCAAGCAACGTGTAGCGGACAATCGGGAGCAATGGCGTCTATTGATATAGCCATTAATGCCCTTAAAATGAGTTGATACGCCCGACCTAAAACCCGCTCGAGATCAACCTTCATACTTAGTAATACATAGTAATGCACTGAAGAGGAGACCCGACAGCACAGGAACAAAATACGCTAATTCATCTTCTCGTAGCGCTCTCTTGCTTTGTCCTTGGCCTTCGAGACAAAGTCCGAGTAATCATTTTTCGTAGCTCGAGCAGCCTCTTCGGCAGCATCTCCAAGCTTGCCGCCCTCGGCTCCAAGACCCACCCCAGGAGTATAGGCCATGGTTTCGATGATAGCAGTTCGGCCACCCCCTTCGGCTCCGAGACCTTCGCCGGTGCTCCATCCCATCTTGGCCAACAATCCTGCACCTTTGGATACCGCAGGCTTCGCGGGCGGTGTTTCCGCAGCTGGACCTGCATCTTTGGTTGTCTGGGGCTGCTTTCTGGGAAGGTGAGGCTTTGGTTTACTAGGCTGATTGTGCGCCATTCGCCGCTCCTTAGCTCGATCACGGTAGCTAGATACTGGCTCTTTACCTAGCGCCTTCAAGTCTATAGTTGCCTTAGTGATTGCTACATCATTGTCGAGATTAGTCTTGTGCAGATCGCTTATTTGCTCATGTCGGCGGAGCGAAGCCTCGTTCTTAAACTTCCGTCTACAGAGCAGACAACACATTTGATCAAGATCAGCATACGACACGAAGGCTGTTGATGTTGGGGCCGGAGTGCTCAGGACTGCAGGGCCGATAGCATTAGAACCAGTCACGGGCGCCTTAACTTCAACAGGCTCCGCACCATTGCTCGGCTCCTTCGGTCCGTGAAGCTCGGCATGCTTGTTTGCCCACATCTGTAGTTGAGGAGCCATCGCAATGACCTTCTTCCCATTGGGCGCGGCAAGGTCCTTCTCTGCTTTTCTCTTCCTGGAGTCCTTGCCTAATGCTCGATCGGCGTCATCCTTGAGTTGCTCCATATTAGACGGCTTGTCCTCATATAGAGCTTCGTTGAAGATCGTAAGCTCATTAGCATACACTGAAGGGTTCCAATATACCAATCTGAGAGACTGGTTATGGGTTGCCGCGAAAGTGAACTTGCGATCCTCGCCTTGTATCGGATGTAGAACGGGTATAAAGACGCCGGAGTGGATGAATGCAATAGAAGCAGGCTTTGAGGCAACCGTAAACTGAGGGGAAGCATTGTACTTGACCATAGCGGCGCGAGCATCGTCTAGGGTTGAGAATTCGGCAAACCCATAATTACAACTGATATTCGAGTATTTGTCCCGTATCATAAAGACGCGTACCAGCGAGCCAGGCTTGGCGCCCAACCCGCTAGTATTGCCAATTGGAGCTGTACTTTTGAGTTTGTTAGGGGCGTTGGGTGATTGTTTAGGCTCCTCATCCTTAGTCACATAGAGCTTCTTAATGTCATTGGCCAATGTAGTCTCGGTGACAGAAGAAGCTAATTCGCGAATGACGATGAACTGGGATGGTGTTTGTTGTGGACATTCATCGCTTTTACCATCGAGCTTCATATCGGCGGTATTCTCCGCTGATGCCAATAGTTAGCTTTGTCGAGAGCATAGCAATTCTCTTATGGGTGTGGCTTACATGTCCTAGGTGCTTTGCATTGCTTGCAAGTTGCTCGGCGGGAAAAGTTCTCGAAATGACACTGTCGGCCCGAAGTTAGGTAAATTGGGGAGAACGACATGAGCGGGGATTTGCGATTTACCATTGTGCATTTCCAATCGTCAGGATTTGCGATATGCCGCCGTTCTCGACTATATTCTATAGGTATACGAATAGAGGAACCGTGAGGGTTGGTGATGTCAAGAGCAGGGTAGTTTCTCTCGTAGAAGCCGATAGCATCGTCTTCGGACCTAAACTCAGCGAATGCGTACAGCCGACGATTGCCTATTGCGTTTAGTGGCGGTTCAGTATTTGGAAACAAGGAAACCATACCGCTTCTATCATCTGACTTGATACGGATTTCAACAAGGCCGGCAGCTCCCATATCCCGCATGGCAGAATCAATCTACTAAGTATTTAGTATGCCGAAGAAATGGATGAGATGCAGCAGGAATACCTCTTGTGTGCTCATCCTATCAGGGATATCATCTAACTTCAGGGTATGGTAGGGCCGTCCAGATCTAGGCCGGCGGCTATCATGATAATAACTATCCTCACCAGAATCAAAAGGCGAGGAGCCGCCTGAGTTGGCGCGTCGGGGACTTCGATTATAACGTCCTCGAGGATCGTCGTGATCTGTGTAATGTCGACCCCGACCGCGGTCGTACGGGGGCGAATATTCGGGTTCGCGGTCGTAGGGCTCGCCGCTAGCTTTCATGGCGCGATCCAAGTAATTATTGCGATGTTCAGGAGAGGTATCTCGTCGATGAGGTGAATTGTGTCTTCGTCCGACAGGAGAGCGCCGGGTACGGTAGGATTCCTCCCCTCTTGGTCCCTTTGGAGGCGTCCTTCTAGGCGATCTAGAGGATTCTTTTCCTCACAGGGAAGTCAGCGCAAGCTCATTATTCATCTCTACAAGCGATCATCCAGGCTATATCATTTTACCATGCCGCGAACGATAGTGGTGGTCCCTAGGAGCGGGCGATCTACGCCTGTGGTAGTCTCGCTCGTCGCGAGGCCGATGGTCGTAGTCGTCATACATGTCGATGTCGATATCGGCGTTATGCGCCCATCAGACTCAATGATGCGAAGGAAGGTTGGTTATACGCCGAACGCGCGCAATTCATTAAAGTAAATAATGAGATAAGAGGATGAACGGTTATAATCTTGCTGTTGAAGGCAAAAGGTAAAAGTACCTAAATGTCAGATGGTTGTGTTACGTAAGTGCTTAAGGTTACGCGCATAAAGTTCATTCTTTCGGCAAGCAATTGAAGTTAATCTTATCTTGCTTATCTAAACAACCCCAGATTCTAGAACAGATTTCTGAATTACGCAGTAGTTACGGATGACCCTTTCAAAAGTTATGTCCATAGGGCAGCCCTATCGGGCCCGACATGCATAGACCATTCCTAGCGACAACTGCTCACCTATTAAAAACATGTATTATATTTTACCCTATCCTTTTCAACTAAAATATTTCCTTTTAAAATAAACTATAAAATTGTTAAAAATTATAGGTTATAAATAATTATATTAAAAGTTATTTAAAGCTTTTTAACATTTTTAAATCTACTAATTTAATAAAGTATAATTTAAAGTATAAAAGTATTATTTTATATATACATTTGCTTTTAAGTTGCCAGGTGTTAGAAAATCTGGTCAGTGCGTTTCGGGCCTGACAGGGCTGCCCTATGGACATAACTTTTGAAAGGGTCATCCGTACATGCATAGTTACCTCCAAAATAGTAAGAAAATAGTAGAAGCATCAACGCAAACGCAGGTCCAAGTCGATAAACCTCGAAATACACGTAAGTGCAATAGATACTTAGATATTCCAATCTTCCTCGATTTAATCTCTTTTTTCCTCCCTTGCTACCAACCATCGGCTAGGTACCTATACGAAGAAGATGGACCTCGAAACGACTGAACTCAAGGAGGATGCCTGCTACGTCGCACTTACCCACGACTATCTCAATGTGAACAGTGTGATGGATAGGGTTCGTAGCCCTCAAGCAGGTGCAATAGTCATGTTTGCGGGTCAGTCAGTCACACTATACCATCCTGCCGTCTCGCAAGGTAGTCATTATTAATACTTTGAACCTATATCCTCATGCTTTTGTAGGTACTACTCGTGATAATTTTGGTGGGAAGCCAGTGAAGGAGCTCCAATACTCTGCTTACAACCTACTGGCCTTGCGCACCATGCTATCCATATGCAAAGAAATCCATACCGAGTATGGCCTCGTGGCAATAGCCATGGTTCATCGTCTCGGAACCGTGCCTATCGGGGAGGAGAGTATACTCATAGCAGTATCTGCCCCGCATAGACAGGCTGCGTGGCGAGCTGGTGAACGAGCCCTTGAAGACTGCAAAGAACGTGTTGAAGTCTGGAAGAGGGAAGAGTTTGAAGGCGAAGACGGCGTTTGGAGAGCCAATAGGGATGGCGCAAAAGGAACATTTACATCTTGATTCGCTATCCTACGTTTACCTACACCAACATCGAACCTATGTAGCAACCTGAGGTTTGTGGAACCTATCTACAGGGATGCCCTAGGATGGTGTCTTATCTTGTTTGCTGGGAACTTGGTATGGAAACGCATTCAATTCGATTTACACCGTATAATATACAACCCAAAGCCACATATACATAGTATGTATGTGCGGCATACCGGATATTATATATTGGGTTAGGCACCTAAGGCCCCTCCTGCAAGCCCTATATTGAATATTTCCCTAGAACGATGCTCTGAAAATATCGTACCATTGTTACTAACTGAACACATCGAGATTGCCGGTTCTAAATGGGACGAAAATAGCAATTGGTTGTCCCGTTCATTAACCGGTTAAATGGCTGTTGTTGAGCCAAGGAGTAGCAAAGGGGGCCTCGATTCTTGTATGTAATCGAGATGGTGTGTTCAGGAGACACTAGAATGTTATTTTCGTATCTGCTACCTTATGCAGATTTTTTCTGCTTTTTCTCGTAATCTACATAGACAGCAAGAAGAAAAAACCTATTACCTGACTACATACAACCTGCGTTGTATCACGAGATTACATGTACCTAGACACGCGTTGGGTCTGTTGCGGTTTAGATTAATGCAGGCGTGTATGTGACCGGGAACGGAGCATAGAACATCGCGAATCTGAACTGGGTCGGACCGAATCTGCCAAGCCATAAGGTACCTGTGAGGTACATCATATAAGCAGTGCTTACATGTATATACCTAATGTACCTGCTTATGTACATGCAGGTGTAAGTCTGTATGGAAAGACTCTTATCTCTTTCAATGGTAACTCTGATTGGACTTCTAAACCTGCAACTTTTCAACCCAAGGTTGCATGCAGAGTCATAACTAGGGAGTGATCAACCATGGACCATGGTGCAGCACTCTCCAGTCTAGAGCTTTGTGCTGTTGAATATTCTGTCGACTATTCTATCTAGCCTTCATATAATACTGCTATGGAAAACATATCAATCGGCTCGGTCTAGACGTTGCGGCAATGGCAATACATAGAGTAATGGTAATGCATGCAAGCTAGGTACTCAAGCTAGGTACTTAGCTGCACGTTCCAACGCCATGTAGAAATAAGCCTTGCACCCTTTTCAGCTCTTTTCTGGGGTTGGTCTTGGCGCAATCCACCCATGAATTCAAGCTGCTACCTCACGACGAGTCTATAGAGATACATCATATCATATCTCTACAGCTTCCAAGTTCCACTGCACTGGGTAGGGCATCGGCCATAGTATATGCGGCATGCCCGGCACCTTCACCCACTTTGCTATTCTCGTTGGTATGGGCAATGCCCCAAGCACTCGGCCGGGTACGGCTGTTTGTGGCGTCTTCGATACCTCTCTTCCTCGAGCGATTAATGGCTTATAGTCCAAGGTGACGTATCTTACGCGAGACCTACTACCTTCCTTCGACGTTAAAGATAAGAATATGAAACATGGATTTCTCGCTAAAGTTATCTCCCGCATTATGCTAATTGGGCACCTTGCTTGTTGGTTATCACATACTTATCATAAATTTGATAGGGATGGGATGATATGTTTTCTTACAATAACCTGATAATTACCTAGTTAGTATCTCGGTATCCTTCCCTCTCGGTACGTACGAAGCATGTTCTAAGTACACACACAGGGCTTAAAGGGGTAAGGTCTACGGACGGAAACCCGTCTTCTCGATTCTACTTCTGCGGATGGCCCCACTCGGGATAATATGTAATGGCTGAGTATACCACCATGATACAGCTCGTTGCGTTGCGGTTATCCATCCACTTGGGGTTATCCAATTTAGGCAGGTTACCCATGACTACCTAGGGTATATGTATGCATATCCGTCTCCCCCATATGTAACATCCAATCTCGAAAGTAGCAAAAAGCTAGTTCCCCACGCCGGGGCTACCACCCGCCAGGTATCACAGCTCGTGGTCTCACCCAGCCCGGCTTCGACGACAAGGTGGGAGACACGATATCACCTAGGGTCCCACTCAAGTCCTCCTGAGAACATTGGTGGTACATACCTCCTCTCACTTTTGAGCTGATCTACACCGGTATATAAAGTAACATGCGACCTCTATTAGTCTCGGGTCTAGGCTATGCCCTCCGCTCACTTCCCTCTTTTGTTGTGCTACGGTCAGGCTAAATATGAACATTTGTTTCTGACATCATTATAACTCTTCCCAGGGCGGCGACATGGTTTTCAACTTTCGTAAGCGCGCTGTCGCCGAGGAGATTACTCCGGCCAGCACCTCTTCTAGCGAGGCCATAGAGGTCACCGGTGTTGAGGCTCTACATACTCTCAAGGGCTTCGAAGAACAGCACAAGCTTGATCCCAATTTTCCTATTGAGGAGCTCAACGACGTCGATGCGGCTATTGCTTCAGGCGATGCCGAGAAGGGCGTCGAGATTGAGACGGCCCTACTCGAAGAAAACAGTCCTTACCCCGAGGTAGGTCTTTACCCTAGCCGCATACGACCTGCTAAAATATCTAAACGAGTGAAAAGGTGCGCGCTGCAGTAAGGAATTACGATGTCGACTTACCAGCTAATACAATTCGTGCCTGGGTAATCGGCTTGATTTTATGTACCGCAGGCTCGGCCGTAAACATGCTCTTTTCCTTGAAGAACCCTACTATACAAATCACCACGTATGTCATCCAGTTGGTCGCGTACCCCATTGGGCTAGGATGGGACTTGATATTCCCCGACCGCCAGTTTAATATATGGGGGTTAAAGTTCAACTTCAAGCCGGGCAAGTTCAATTTCAAGGAGCATGTCATCATCGTCGCCATGTCGAATGTGGGTCTTAAAAAATACGTTCGAGTGGATGGAAGCTAAACCCTGAGTAGGCCGCTTACGGCGGAGGCTTTCTGTATGCCACCGACGTCCTGATCGCTCAGCAGGTCTTCTGTGAGTTGTGCCTCAAAGCACTGACACTATAACATAACTAATACTCAGAGAAAAGATAAGCAACACTTCGGCTGGGGCTTCCAAATCCTATTCGGTGTCACCACGCTTTGCACGGGATACGGTTTGGCCGGATTGGCTAGGCGTTTCCTCGTCTGGCCGGCTGCGATGATATGGCCTTCCGACCTCGTTAACGCTTCGTTGTTCTACGCTCTCCATGATCATTCTCCTTCCGACCCTGCCGAGACGAATGGCTGGAGAATTAGCCGGTATCGATGGTTCATATACGTCATGATAGGCGGGTTCGTATGGTATTGGTTTCCAGGCTGGATTTTTCAAGGGTTATCTTACTTTACGTTCGTATGCTGGGCTGCCCCTAAGAATGTTGTCGTCAACAAGCTCTTTGGGGGTTTGCACGGATATGGTCTCTTACCGACAACTCTAGACTGGACCGTCATTTCTGGATATGCGCTATCTCCACTCATTCCGCCTTTCCACGCCGTGGCCAACGCCGTGGCGGGTGTGGTCATCTTCTTTATTTTTGTCTCTATAGGCCTGCATTTCTCTGGCACATGGTACGCCGACTACTTTGTTGTCCAGTCGTCCAGTGCCTATGATAATACCGGTGCCGTCTACAACGTCTCGAGAATCTTGAACGACGATTTGACCTTCAACGAACAGAAGTACTACGATTATTCCCCCTTATTCCTCTCTACTCAGTTTGCCCTTACCTATGGGATGTCCTTCGCTGCCGTCGCCGCCGTAGTTGTTCATGTTGTTCTATACCATGGGAAGCAAATCGTCTCGCAATTCAAGCTTGCCCGTAGGCAGGAGGATGACATCCACATGAAGCTAATGAGAAAGTACAGGGACGCCGAGGATTGGTGGTACCTTGCCCTCTTTGCTATAATGATTGGTTTGTCATTTGTTGTGTGCTGTGCTTGGCCTACAGGATTTCCTGCCTGGGCTTATGTCGTCTGTATCTTAATCCCATTGGTATGGACAATCCCGATAGGCATCATTCAGGCCATCACAAATATTCAGCTCGGGCTGAACGTCTTAACCGAATTTGTCATTGGATACATGTTGCCCGGTCACCCTCTAGCCATGATGATGTTCAAAAACTATGGCTACATCTGCATGCAACAAGCCCTTGTAAGTAGTAGACTTCCGAAGTTTATTTTCGACTCACTTAGCCATGTCCAGCAAATTTCAGATGCTAACTCTAGGCTATAGTACTTTGCCCAAGATCTCAAGCTCGGTCACTATATGAAAGTGCCTCCCCGCGCTATGTTCTGGTCACAGCTAGCAGCTTCCCTATGGTCAGCCGTCGTCCAGATCGCCGTCATGAACTGGGCTCTAGGAACTATCCCAGATATCTGCTCTGACGACCAGCCTGATAACTATGTGTGTCCTAACGGCAGAGTTTTCTATACTGCATCCATTATATGGGGTGCTATCGGCCCTGCGCGCAGTAAGTAAATTTCAACGTCGTATAATTCTCTAAACATCCAGCCGTCATCGTCCTACGAGCAAAAATACTAATGCGTCCTATAGTGTTTAGTGGCAATGCCATTTATGCGTCGCTGCAATGGTTCTGGCTCGTCGGCGCCATTACTCCTATAATTACCTGGTTCTTGGCCCGTCGCGCTCCTAAGTCGATATTCCGATTTATAAACATGCCGCTTATTTTTGGAGGTTCCGGTTGGATTCCACCTGCCTCGACATACACATATCTCTGCTGGGGTACAGTCGGCTTCGTATTCAATTACTACATTAAGCGAAGGTGGAATGGCTGGTGGATGCAGTATAATTATATCACGTCGGCAGGTTTAGACGTGGGCCTAGCGGTTTCGACTATTATAATCTTCTTCACGCTATATCTCACCTCTGCTAAGCTACCTAAGTGGTACGGGAATTATGATGTATTTGATACACTTGACCAGACCGGCTTGGCAATCAAGAGCTTTGTTGCCGATGGAGAAACATTTGGGCCGGAGACCTGGGCGTAACCCACACGTATTAGTATTTAGCGTATTTATATTATAATAATTTATTTAATGATGACCATATCTTTTTGGATTTCTTAGACCCGAAATCTGATAAAGGAGCCATGAGGTAGAACCCCTAAACATAAGAGGCTAATGATTTAAAGACCAAACCTGGCCAGTATGTGGTGGCATAAGAGATTTGTATTCAGGAGCTATGAGGATATCACCATGAACTATTAAGCCATGAGGTATACGAGCAAGCGCAAAGCTCAGAGTCTAAGGGACGTAAATGTGGCAAGTCTGCTTCACGTTATCAGCATCCCGTCAACCCCGACAACACTGCCATTCATATATCTAGCCTCATCACTCATCAAGAAAGCAGAAACCTAAATGATCTACTGTCAGTTTTCGTAACTCTTTAGCACAGTATTGTAATATCAAGTACTTACGCCTGCAATATCCTCCGGCGTACCCATCCTTCCTAGAGCATTACCCTGCTCCATACGTTGTCTTGCTTCGGGCGTTCCCCTAACGATTCCCGCATTGGTCGGGGTATTAATGTATCCCGGTGCGAGAATATTCACCCGGATGCCTTTTGGTCCTAGTTCAAGCGCCATGCACTTGCTGAAGCCGATGACACCGAACTTGGTCGCGCAGTACACGGCTGTTCCCGCGTCGGGATTCCATCCGGAGATAGAACTTACGTTGACATAACTGCCACCCGGGGCTGTCATGTGCGGGATAGTGGCTTTGGTTACGTTGAACATGCCCTTTAGGTTGACGTTGACGAGCTTGTCGAAATATGCCTCGCTTGTTTCCGTCAGGGACATGGCGATTGGGTTGATGCCGGCGCAGTTGAATACGTGGTCGATGTGCCCGTATTTAGCCACAACCTGGGCTACGCGTTCTTCCACGTCGGCGGACTTGGATACGTCAAGAGTATGAGCAGTATGATGCTCTGAATTGCTGCCGCCTGAGCATAGCGTAAGGGTCTCAGCCAGTGCAGGCTCGTTGACATCCGTGATAGCAAGGATAGCACCAAGGCTATCTAATTTAATTGCTGTGCCCCGTCTAAAGGACGAATGTAAATGCATGAGCTATAGAGTGGCATCCGAACAAAGTCTAGGTAAGAGATAGATGTGATATAACTTACCCAATACCGCTCGCCGCGCCGGTGAGGAGGATCACTTTACCGGAAAGATTCCAAGACATGGTGAGAATGTAGTATTGGATATAACACGCTATTTCGAAGATGAATTTTAATGTGTCTATTTTCTAACCTAAAGACTTACAAGTCTATTACGCTATAACACTCCCCCACTTTATGTATCGCTCCCCACCCGAGCTCGGAGGACGTCTGCCTCTCGGCGCTATGATACGGAGGACTCGTGTTTATTAGATAGGGGGGTCCTTGGTATCCTATGCATCCTACACTCCGATGATAAACGAGAGTCGGACCAGAGAATTATAATGCTTACATTTAAGTCCAGCCAGTGGCGAGCAAAAGCGAACGGAGGTTTGCTTAATTCCCATTAGCATTAAATCTTATCTTGACGTTACAAACGCATTGCCAAGAGTGGGAGGTGGGAGTTAAGCCACACGACTAATAAAAAGAACAAAAAAGACAATTTCATAGGGAAGTAGAGTTATTGTATTGTTCCTAGGAACTCTTATATATGTTGTCCGACCATATTCCCTTCGCGGCCTGACATGAGCCTGCGAAACTGAAACCGAAACCTATCCCTATTCATCACATACGCATAATTGTATATTTATCCCCCTAGCCTTGTTTGAATTATATAAGCCTGTCGGATGCCGATAGAAAAGCAAAAGTCTATAGGATCGACGGCTCATTCTGCGTAGACAAGTACGAGTAAAACTGACGCCAGGGTATGATATAAGTTGAAAAATGCACCGAACTCCATGCCCGTTTTCAACGCCAAAAATCACTAAAGAGGGAGAGAAGCGTCACTGCAGGAACCTCTTTATTCGTAGAATCGTTCATTCCATTCGTGTTCCAGTAACTCGAGCGGGAGAGGCCACCAGGACATTAAGGGTCCCTCGATGTTGGAGACGTGCTGATGTTGCGACGTCTTCTTAGGGGCTGCCTTCTCGATCCATTCGTGCTCCATTAGCTCCTCCGATGCGGGCCACCACGACATCAGCGGCCCCGAGATATTGGAGATGTAGTGTTCCTCCGGTGCAGCTATGCGGACCTGCTTCGGTCGGGTGTCTAGTTCAGACACGGGCGCCGCGGCATGCGATGTCTCCTCTCCTTGCCTGCCGAGAAAAACGGGAAATTCAAAGCCGTCTTCAAATCTTAGTGGACTCTCCCGGGAATAAGGATCCAGCGAGGATGGTAAGTACACACCTTCGTCGAAGTCGGACTCGCAGTCGCTGAGGACCGGGGTTTCGTTGGTCTCCGATTCGGGTGTCTGTGAACCCGATGGCAAGAACTCTAACGGTGTTGTGTAGCCATCACGGTAGACGTGGTTGACAATAACCTTGTCCTTGTGGCCGTTGCGGTGCAGATGGTTAGCATAGAGCAGATGTGAAAGGTCATCCTCGTTATAGATGGCGACCTGAGGGTCGGTCTTAGTGTCTTGTGGGACAGTGCTGGGTTCGACACGAGCGACGGCCTGAGTGACAGCCAATTGCTCAAGCTGAAAGATATCACCCTGCATGATTGATGATTGTTTTATAGATGCTTTGATCTAATTAATTGATCTGATTGATAGTAGTAGTTGATCTTGGATCTGATGTAGATTGATGGATGTGTAGCTAGATTATCCGCCTAGGCTGATGTCCTATTTTATATACAGAGGCCAAGACTATGTTATACACACATGCCACGATGAGTCGAGTATGTACCTAATAAAAAATCTACAAATTATTCGGCCGTCATACTAGAACCATGCTCGAACTATTAGATCCGAAGTATTCTCGTCTCATCAGACCAAGCCTGATAGCTTGGACAGTCCCGTTACGCCTAGGCGGATAGCTCCATCTGGCGAAAATAAAAATAAAGAGAAAAAAGCGGGTTTACAGTGGCGTGTCCTTGAATCACTATGCTATTGATAATCGTATGATCAGGGGTCAGCCAGTCGAGCCAGCTGAGCCCTGCTACCTGTTAGAAACTTGCGACCCGGCTTCACCCGACCCAGGTCTTAATAGAGAATTTTCTGAAGCTACGGGATGAATCCTGGTTTTACAATAGACGACAATAGAAAATAATAGAGAGAATATACTTTTTTTTTTCTTTCTCAATTACCCTGACTACCAAGAGGATGACTGGTGTTTAATTCTCGCTGTCCACATATTTCCACTACAACTACAATTTTTTTTTCTTATTTTGCCCGACCAGCAACACCGGTTGAGACTACCTAAGATCTTAGATCTTAAATCCAGATCGCGTTTCGCCGTCTTCAGTTGCACATGTCATAGACAGACTCATTTCATCTACCTACTTCTCCATTACCTCTTATGTATACCCATCGCATTAGTATTCTTCTTCTTCTTTTATTGCATGCCTTCTTTAGTCATACAAGAAGTTCTGTTCACAAACGCATTAAAAAGGTGTTATCGGTTTTGCATTAATACGATATCGCAAACTCACCCGAACTTCCTGAAGAACTTCCTCCCGTACAATCTCGAAGTCCCTATTAGCATCCACTCTGGTTATCTGCATGCCCGACTCTTCAAGGGCGACGAGCATTGCTTCGCTCTCCTCGATGGAACGCGTAATTCTCTCCCGCGCTCTCACCTCATTTGCGTCGTCCGGCCGCCCTGATGCCGAGGCCCGTCCAAGCACGCGTGCAAGCGAGACCTCGGGGGGACAGGTTAAGTAGAGTACGCAACAGGCCCGCGGCATCTGCGCTACCCATTCCCTAACATGCTGTTCTTGGCGCGGAAAGCCGTCCACGAGCCAGGGATTCTATCCTCGTAACGAATCAAGTCACCATAGGATAGGTGAGTTAGACTGGAAAATGTCGTATTAAGAAATTTTGAATGTGTACCTTTCCCTGTACCAGGCGCTCCCAATATGAAGATGATAAGCGGTTGAGTAGAAAGACGTGATCTGTATAAGCCCGTTGATGCTTCCCGCACTACACTTGGGAATCGATGGCCTGTTATACCTCTACTACTGCCCCAACCAACTAGGTGAAAAGATAGAATGCTGCCGAGGTTGATTCTTGAAAGCAAGCGTCGAATCGCTGTTGCAAACGCTTTGAGCATTTTGATTATCTTCGAATGAAGTCATTAACCTATACTATATCGGGAGAACGCGCCAGGGGCCAGCCATTGTCTACATTTATACAGGCAACGATTGCCTTGGTGATTAAAAAGGACTTACTATTATTTGAGAAGGTCGTTATTTGAAACTATTGTGTTATTCGAGAATGGAAGTTGTGTATGGTCTTGTGTCAGGTGCTTGAGGTGAAATCTAGCGGTTTTATACTTATTCTATAGAGCTGTGTTATCTGTGTGCCATACTCGCAGAATGCATGGATGTTTCTTGACTCGGATAGCTCGAAGTCGTCTCTCTATGCTTCATTTCTGTCTCACAAGCCGGTGCCCGACTTGAAAAATCGCGAGGCTTCGCCCGCAACCACCTACGCACGCGAACAAGCCCCGTAGTTGCTTGAAAAAAATCAAACGGCCCCCCTGAACTGAATGGAATTGCCCGTCATAGTAATTCTACCAAGGCAAACGGCTCACATTTTCGATTTTCTCATATCGGTTAGAGTGAGACTGCCGAAGCCTATACATGCACTGATTTTGCTATTATTTGGGGGGGTTATTCGCAGTAAACGCCTAAGAGAATGCTGGCAGCCGATACAATTCCAGCCGGCTTACCCGCATCTATCCCGTTGTTTGCTGGTTCCTGTTTTTCTGACTGGTCATGTTGTGGGTATCACCAAGCATAGACTTGGAGGGAGAGTGCCCGTGATTCTAGGATGATGAAGCTCTCTCTATGCTAGATACAAAACGCTCTATCAAGAAATGTAGATAGGATTAATGCCAGGAATGTTACTTGCATCCTATCTAGGTAACCAACCCAACTTAGGTAACCAACTTAAAGGAATAAACAAACGTAGCCGAACTGATTAAATAAGATGTCAACATTTTATTGGAAACCTCAATTCGATTCCAAGGCACTCTCTTATAGGAAATATTATCTAAGTACCTGCATTTTAAGTCGCCTGCAAGTATGCGTACGACTTGATTTGCTGAATGTGACTCTGTCCCTATTTACAATCTTGTCTGTCTATTACTTCTCCTGCCAACCCCTTGTCTTAGCTGATACTTTCGAAAATTGGCCCAAAACTGCCATACCGGAGACCTTCACGCCTCCTTGGCAACGTCCAAAAGCCTGTGAGTACACTGGCTCCCTCGGGAACTTGGTAAATATTCATCCCAGCGATTCTAGGTTGACCAGGACAAGATCGATCAAGGATATATATATGGTCCGATTAACGACACGCATGTTGATATTTTCAACACTCAGCTGCGACATGTCTATTTTTCGGCCGGAGGCTGTCAAAAAAAAATGCAAAATAGGTAACCGTTAATGACCCTTAATTTGCGGTTAGAGTAAGTCAGGGGGTGGTACAGCTCATATTGATGTATAGGATATGGTTCTGTCGGGTGCCTCCTATCTCTACTTGTGCTAACTTCTCGTCGGAAGGGATAGCTATTCTTCTTGCCCCTTTTACTCCTATACCAAGGGTTATAAACTTCCCGTTTTCGTAGATAAAGCTGAGACCACATATCTCGTTGGTAATCTGCCTGAAAGTGACTTCAATAGCTATGGCAGGATTTGGGCGACCACATTCACACGTCTCTTGTATAAACGCCCTCTGCACGACTGTCCATGAAGGTAGTAGGTAACCAGCCGAATCTATGAGTAGTTATGTGTTAAGTGCGTCTGTTTTTAGTGTATAGAAGATGCGGACATGGTCCCATTGTAGTAAATAGATTAGTATAATCCGCACTAGAGAATGAAGAGTTGTCTCAGGGGCAACCAGGCTGCATGAGCTCTCAAGGAGCAATTTATCTATATTTAAGAAGAAGCCCAGGAGTAGGTATAGGTTATGACGAGGAAGATTAGGGGAAATTTTCGAAATAACATCAAAAACACGTACTTCATGATTACAACCCCAGAGGATGCCGCTCTTTACTTTCTAGTTAGCAACACATGCCGTATCTAGGTAGAATTTACAGTTAAAATAACCATAATTTCATATGGGTTCTCTCGATACTCTAGGCACATTTCCCCGCCATTATGGTGTTCTAGAAATTCCTTGCCGACACCACGGGCGGTTACTATTCGTAGCCTCTCGTGTATTATTGTGGTCTCGTTTAACGTGCGTCGAGCGCAAAACTAAACCCGACACACTGCATATTGTCCCCTGGTATTAGTCTGCCCATCCCGCTCTGAGAGTCTGCAAGTTCCATGTCCCCTATCGAGACGGAATATGAGTTTTGAAGTTGACTGGCTTGTCCGTAGTTCGTACTAAAACAAAGGCCTTTTTTATTATAAGTATTAGTATTATGAACTGGGACTGATACTTGGACAGTTTCTTTTTCACACATACAGGCTCGAACTTCTTGTAACCAATTAAGGCGATAGTCAGGATTTGCTAGATCGTCATCAGGGGTCAACCACACATCAATTAGGACATTAGACAATCCCGTAGAGGATGCCTGAAGATTATAGGCGGTACCCATTGTGTAAGTGGACGTGAAAGAGTTTATAACTTGGGCAAGTGTATAAGCAAGTTTTAAAGCTATGCGTAAAGCTGCCTACCTAAACGATAGGTAAATGAAGTATTACTCTCTGCCAATAGTATCCCACTGTAACCCTCATGTACCTGCCGAACTTGTTAACAGGTTACCTACATACGGTATATAATGCATATCCAGCTATCTACAATGTTTATTAGGCAGGATTGAATAACACACAAGGCACTCGACGAAAAAAATACCAGGTCATGAATACGTAATTACCTTCATCTATATATGTGATAAATGTAAATTGCATCATCCCAAACCCACCAAGCCGAAACCCTGTAGAAATCAACCCGCATATCATTAGCCCGGGCATAGACTGCTACTACAAATTACAATTTTACTATAATTTGTTACGAGTAGCAACACCAAGAACAATAACAACATATAAACCAGAGGGTCGTCACGAGCCTAACCTAGAAAATGCTGTTTACGAGATTACTACCAATCGTAGCACCAGCGCCGAAGATGGCAGCATTTCCCAGCTTCTTGCCAAACTTCTTTCCATTTTGCTCCATTTTGCTCGGTTCGGCAGGCGTGCTGGGACTACCACTTCCTTGAGCCACTGCCATAGGGGGAACTTGTGCATTATACGGGTTCTGTGCCTGCGGCGGCGGTGGATAACCACCATTACCTCCTGGCGTAGCTGTAGCGTATACCGGTTGGGCCGGAGCGTAGAAACCTGACTTCTCACTATGGTCTATCTCAACGTAATTCCTGGGGAAGATACCCTCGGCGTTCGTCCGCTTGTTGCGTCCCATCCACCAGTCGTCATTCATGTATTCGTATACAGCAATCTTATCTTCGCGCTCGAATGACAAATCTCGGTCATCTGCAGCCTGGTATTTGTAGAGCGCCTTCGCGTGGGCGATGATTGGCTTCGATGGGGGTGGAGGGGGAGGCCCTGCGCGTGAAGGGAGCGAAGGCGGACCGGTTGAGCTGTATGCTGGAGGTGCGGGAGTGGAAGTCGGGTTCTGATTGATTGCTAAGTTGGCCATGGAATGAACAGGTGGTGTATGTTGCGGTGGGGGGCCTAGCGGCGGCGAGGCGACAGAGGCCCCTCGCGTTGATGGTGTAGGCGCACCAGAGAGTGAGGTCTCTGCGGGAAGCGCTCTATGAATTGAGTCGAACACATCGTCCGTCAGAACTCCCTTCTCAAGAAGATGCTCAAGCTCCTGGGAACTAGTTAGCGACAAGGATACTCTATTTATCCTAATACAGAGAAGGCTTAGCTAAATGCAAGCATACATTCTTGATGAGACGGAGCGACTTGTTAGTCGCAATAATCTCCTGTCGGTCGAGGGTAACCATCTTGTCAAGATAATTCGACTCTCTAGTTATATAATTCACAATACTACCTTGTGTACTAGGTAGGTAGCGAACGTAGAAAATGTATTGTTACTTTTAAAGCGCGGCTACTCGGGAGACTGGCAGCAGATTGTTGGTGGAATGACGGGAGACGGACAGAGGCAAAGCCCCGCCTCAGGCTCCTTTCAGTTGTACGAAACGGGTGGCTGTGCACAACCCCTAGTGATAAGAGGTAATCGCGTATAGTTACCCGCGTATTTAAAGTTATGTAAGTTCATAACTTATTTTAAACCCGAACGTAACCCTTGGATGTTAATTGTTAGCGCTGTTAAGATAGCAAAAATACACATCTACAATAATAAAAGGAATAGACAAAAAGTAACAAAAACCTGACGAAACTTACGAGCAAAGAAAAAAAAGAAATATGTGACAAGAGTGGGACTTGAACCCACGCGGATTGCTCCATGAGGATGTAGGAATTAAGGTGACCTTAACCTCACGCCATAACCAACTCGGCCATCTTGCCCTTAAAGCTTCCCAGTAGCATAAATAGCTTATATTTTAACCCCAACCTTAGCCGAATATGGTTAGTGCAACGGTTGTCGGGGTTCTGTATATCACTGTATATCAACCACTCAAGAGGTAGACATCCTCCCCAAATACATCATACTAATTATATGATAACTAGAAAATATGCAAACTTATCATTATTATTATCCCTTCCTATGATACCAATACCATACTTAAACCACTCACCAAACAACAGCACCCCTAACATACCCACGACCCACAAGCTCCCTAAAGTTCCTCTCCAAGCACTTAAGCATATACCCATTCAGATGCCCTCCATCCCCCAGTACATCAACAATCCGCTCGAAGTCAAACTCTTCAGACGGCCGAGAGCACTTCTCCAGAATCCGCCTTAGGACAGCAGTCCTGCACCTTGGATCCCTAACTGCCGTGCGCAAACTAAGCGCCAGCAACGACTGTTTCGTTCCGTCCATGTTTACACTTCCCTCTATATCCCCCCTCTCCTCTTTCAACTTCCGAATAATGCCCAAATACTCATCCCTCAGCTCCTTTAATGTCCACGGTGTATCTTCATAGCGATTCTCCTCCGGCTCCTCATATGCTCCCTTCTCCCTCCAGAGCACAGGCGACGGCCGCCAGCGCCACGCAAACGTATTAAAGTCCCTGATAAGCCATGGCGGGAAAGTCTCGTTACCAAGTGATCTCGGCGCGACGTGTACGCCGTCCCAGCCCACGATTGCTTTGATATCGCCTTCTTTAGACACGATGATGTGGCGCATGCTCAGGTCTGGGTGTGTAAGGACGAATCCCTTCTTATGCTGACTCGCATTTTCCTTACCCGTAATGGATCTTGGCCTGGAAGGCTCGCGGAGAAGACTTACGAGGAGACGAAGTAATTTATCGACGCCAATATTTGCTTCGGTATCGCATGGGTATTGATCTAAAAGTGTCGTGTACATTTCCCTCGCGTTTCCAAAGGGACCTACCGCGGTATACAGGGGTACCCTCTCGCAATCCTCGTTGTTGAGCCAGCGGTTTATCATGGCCTGTATGTCGAGCTCCCTCGAAGGCCCCACGCCGATGAGTATCCCGTTGCTGTCGAAGACTGGACCCCCTCCATGTTCAAATTCGTACTTCCCAAGTTCAAGCACCGCCCGTGCTAGATTCTGCAGGACCTTGCTCCTTATTGCCCTGATCCCCTTCTCGTCATCGCCGTAAAACCAGACCTGATCCAGTGTCAGACCAGTCACGTACTCCATAATTAGATAGGGAACATGAATCTCGTTATGAGGAGAGGAATCGGCGTCGATGATCGCGGGCACCGGCACGCGGGTCTCCGTGCGAAGCATATAGAGCACAAGTGCCTCGGTACGGAGCGCTTCAGCGCATAGTTCATCCCATATATCCGGCGTGCCGTTGATAGGGATCTTAATCATCCACTTAGTATCCTCGCGGCATTGAGAATTGGCGAACTCGATCGAATAAAAGATGTGCGCCGATCCTAAGAATGGCCCGTCGACCTGAGGTAGTTGCAGCGGAGATGAACCGTTGGCGGATGCGAGCCTGTAGCGAGCCTGCATGATACCAAATGTAAAGGAGGCAATAGCCGCTATGTCGATATAGGAAAGTATACCGGCGTAGTCGTGGTGTTTCCTTTGGTTCCTCCTCTTCCGCTCCATTGCAGCGTTCTGGCTTATTTCCACCGGTGCAGCACTGACAAGTGCATCTTTAAGCGAGGGCACGCTTTTTATTTCTTTTGTGTCCAGTTCCCGGTGACCCGACTTAACTTCCCATCGTGATAGATTTGCCAACCTATCTAGATCAGCCCATCTTCTATTGCTGTCTAACCTGCCTGCGTAATCAACATGTGATTGGTTTCTACCAATTTTCAAAGACAATCCCAAAATCAATCCTAGGTTCACGTGTTGTTCCTGAGTTAGTCGATTTAGTTCCTCTTGACGCTCAAAGCGAGATCGTTCTATAAAGCTTTGTACTAGGGAATCTGACATCGCTTCTAAGGAGGGAAAAAAAAGGTATGCTAAATGATACAATGCTATTGAATAGCTTTGTGAGAACCAGCTGGACATAAAGGTTTATAGAGCTAGGAAAACTAACAAAGACTCACTCCATGGTGATGTTGGTGGCGTCAGTTTCCGTATCCGGAAGCTATTATTTTCAATATTCTAACGTCGCAATTGGCATTGGCATGTTTCGACGAGTTTACAAGCCGAGTAAACTTTCTGTACAAGTCTAAAGTCCAAAGTATTTCTAGCCCTCCAAAGTATATACGACGAAACTCCTTTAGTCTTTCGTATAAGGGTATAACCACCACCAATCACCATCATATATCCTTCGAGAAAACTCGTCTGAAAATAATAGTGCCGAAGCCTCTTGTAACCCTAACTATAAAGTAGGCACAAGAGGGGAAAACAACCACCAAAAGACAACATCGATGTCATAGAACCATTCATAGGTCCATAGTCGTGGTCAAATCGGCCACGAAGCTTAACCGTATTTAAGCATAACAGTTAACATGCAGCCATCTCGTGTCTTTCTAACCCGTGACCAGCCTATTAGCGGCCAACTAACTCCTAGCTAGCCTACTAGAAAGCCAGTCGTCCGTTTCGTAAGGCATAGCAAAGCCGAAGACTACCAAGACCTATACCACCAAGTACCAAGGCCGACGAGGAGCAGAGTAACGAAGACCACGAGACCCTCTTTTGATTGAGAGATCAGCATCGACCAGCCGATAGTTGGCTCCCATTTCTGAATATAAGCTCGGCGTTCCCAAGACAGCAAGTCGATTGGGAATGGGAGCTTGATACGAGGGTCTACAAGTAGGGGGCTGTCACCCTTTGTTCTTAACTCCGATTCCAGAGCAGATTCGGGCGGTATAAGACAGTTGTGCTCAAGCATCGGGATCTCTACGCGCAAGAATACTGCTCTATGGTCGCTCGATCTGACTGGAGGGAGCGCATTATAATCTAGGATCTTCATACTCTTATCGCCGACGGTCTCCCTAGCCCACCAGGGTATCTCTTGGTATAGAATGCGGTCACACCAGCCGGGCCATCGATGAAGAGCCCATGACCAGTCGACTTCATCTATGTCATCTTCGCCATCCCCGATGCGATCAAGCCCAACGTGTGGCTTTGGTTTTGGGGACACTACTAGCTTATATGTTGGTGGGAACAGGATCTCTGCCTCGCTCAATCCGTGTAGTGTGCGACCAGCATCTCTCTCTGCCATAAGCTGATCGCGTGCCAGGAAAGATGAGAAGTGATTAGAATTCACAGTATCGGGACTAGTATCAGGAAATACCGAGTCCGAAGTTGGTGAACTCTTGGATATACGATAGTTTAAATCTCCAGCAACAAAGAGGTGGGCGCCGGGCTTATATATAGAAATATCGTGCAGAGACTTTTCGATTGTGTCCTGCGGAAGTAGAGCTTGCTGGGCTTCGGAGTCATCGTCATCCCGAACAGTGGACTGCCTCGCCTGGCTTTCTGCAATTTCCTTGGGATTCTCAAATACGAGACCGGAGACAATAGTTTCCCAATTCTTGTTCCTCTTTTCGAGATTCCACTCCATAGCAGCCAGGTGAGCACCAACGAAGGTGAGTTCGGTCGATGCTAATAAACAACCATCCGTATTCCTTTTGTTGTAATGCATCCGAAGCCCCACAGCTCCTTTGTTAGGCATGTCGCCAGCACCAAAGGCAATAACCGTAGCCCGTAGATTCTTCACCGTGTTTGGGTCGCGGGCGAAGAGAAGAATGCCTGTCATACCAACATTGCGCGCAGTCACCAACGTATACGGATGGTCTTTTGACAGATTTTGACGCTCTACCCCGTCGGCGAATTTGGCAGCTGCAATATTTACGGCCGACTCGTATCGTTGGAAATAAGGATTGAGCATGTAGGAGCCAATTAAGGCCTGAGCCAGTGGTGCCATCTCCTGGAGGGAGCTAGACAGACAATTAATTATCAGACAATCAAGTATTGCTCGACACACTAGTTAATGCATTATATGATACTTACATGACGACCAACTCCGGAAGACTCGAAGTGTTCCGCGCGAATGCATTGTATAAGTGTCGAGCAAAGACGGGGATGTTAATCTGGTGCTTCGCAGCATTGAACGTGAGTATGAAGACGTCCAGAGCCGGAACTGGATCCATCTCCGTAGACGAATTGAAAGCCAGGTTTTGGTGTATTCGGTGTATAATTTGTGCAGTCAGGGTTGCAATGGGAACTTGTAGAATGGAGCCTTGATCTTGCAAAAGTTGCAAGCTCTAATGTTAGGTTTATGTTGTATCACCTTCTCTTCCAAGATATCGGATCCAATAGTGGGACTATCTTGGAGCAAGGGTATTGGAGCTTTTAAGGCCTCCCTCTTTTCTTTCCGCGTAATAGATATTATGTCATCGATATTCGATATCCAACTCTCGGGTTAGATGTTCAGGGTCCTTCCGAATCCGGTATTATACGAGCATTTAGGTTGGGTGCTAGACGAACACAATTACCTATCACAAAGTACCTATCCCTGCTTTACTCCCTTATGAATTCGACGACACTTATCAACTCTTATACAATTTCACTCACATTTTCATCCCTTCAAAATAGGGCTATGTAACTACACTTATGTGACTATGTTAAATGCCTTATCCTAGGCCAAACCCTGTCCATGTCAGGTGTTCAAGGCCATGTGATCTTTGAGAATGTGCACAGCCTCTTCGTATAGCCGCTTCTATCACAAGACTTCCGCTTTACTATTGGTCGAAATACACCCCTTACCGTGAGCATGTCTACTGCTATACCAAACCCAGAATGATTACGCAGTCACATCTCGTTAATTGATACGCACTCGAGTCTCCCAATGATAATGCAAATATAATTCATTCTGTGTAACTACCTAGCGTGTATTGTCTGTCGTCATCGTCGAGAAAACCCCCCTCTCCATCAACGTTTCGTGAGTGCACTCCACCGACGCTACCAATCTACCGTGAGCTTAGACGGCGTCTTTCGTTTCGTCGAGTATCGCAATATTTTTAAACGTCGTGCTTCTAACGCGTTGTGAGGTTAATGAGCCAGGAGGTTCGTGGATACTACTACTGGCTAAACGTGCGGAAGACACCGCCCATCTTTATTAATCCATCCCAACCTGGAAAAGGGTTATTTCCGACCACTAGCTGAGATTTCACCACGAATGACGGTAAGGCCGATAGCATGTATCCATAGTATGTAAGCTGTCAGCTCCACCCGTGTTAGTAACGTAGATTTAAGACCAAGATCTGGCCTGTCCGGATTTGGGCGACAATGAGCTCCGGGACATCATTAGGCTGGCGTTTGATATTGTTGAACACCCAAAGACGAACTCCCACCACTTCATTACAACATCCCCAGGAGTGGATATTGACATAACGATGCAAAGTCCGAATGGGAAAATGAACGAAAAGGAAACCATCGAAGAAGCGAAAAGGAAACCAAAGAAGCTCGTCATATCAGAAAGGCTAATCGATCGCATCGAAGGAGCATCAACAACTCGAAACAGAAGGATATTAGTTTCGAAAGTTGAAGAAGCCCGGGCTCCGGGTAGGCATCATCCTCTAATTCATATGCATTATTGAAAAGCGAAGAATTGAGATTGACATGCCATGATAAGACTTAATTCCATAACGACACCCCAAACGAGTCGGAGTGCCGGAAGTGCCGTTCAAACAAACCTAGCCACACTTAAGAAGAACGTCGAATGTGTGCGAGACACAAATCGACGCCTTCTAGTATTACCAGGTTGTTCGAGCCACGGAATTGAGTCGTAAACCGAGAGTCATCGAAGAACGGAAACAATAGCAATCCATACGATATGAAAGAGATCGTGCGTGGTCCTCTATCCGGCAGTAATAGGCGTAGGTCCTTGACGGACGTTCCAGAGCCAATGCAGAGGGAGATTAACGAGGCTACCACGATTCCGAGTTACTTTCCATTGTGCAGGTCCAACATTCGGCAAGCCCGCTACAACGCAACAGTTATCACCAATGTGAAAATGCCGTCGAATCATTTTGGTCGGTAGGATCCAGGTACAAATCCAGTGCCAGCGCCCTGGCCTTTGGAAGCTGATCGCAGCCTGTTACCGCAAACTGAAGTGTCAGCAAATCGTGTCAGCAATTCCTCCGTCTAGCGCTGTAAATCACACCAAACTCGAAGGAAAAATGATTCCTTACTAGGAATGCTTGGGCTGGGCTGGCGAGACACTCACATCCTGTCGCTTCCTCCGACGGCACGGTTGGTTTCTGGAGTGTCAACGCCGGGAACACCGCGCTCGATTACCTTACGGCGAGAGCTGGGAATCGGGTTTGGCTTTACAGTACCCGACTGCGCAGTCTGACCTGCCGTTGCAGCAGTGGTTCGTCGAGCCTTGTCGTCTTCGTTCTCACCCTGGCCGGCCGCCTGGGCGATTGCCTGGGCGTTCTTCTGATACTTATAGACAGTCCAATCAAAGACGTAGTCGTACTGGAACCCTTCACGGACGAAGAGATCACGGAAGATTTTTCGGAGGTAGCTATAGTCGGGCTTGTCATCAAATCGAAGGGAACGGGTATAATTTAAGTAGATGGCAAATTCGTTGGGGAAACCACGGCAAAGAACCTCGGTCGGTGTAGTCATCTTCTTCTCCATGATGCGGTCATACTTCTGCTTCTTAGTAGCAGCCTTTAGACCCTGCCAGGGAAGGGAACCTCGGCAGAAGTACAGCATCACATAGCCCAATGACTCCATGTCATCACGACGGGATTGTTCTGCATGCGTTAGTTTATATTACGATGGAACTAGCAAAGAACAGCTACTTACCAACACCAAGATGGGTATTGATGGAGGCATATCGAGCAGTGCCAGTCAAGTTCTTGTTCTCACGGTAAGGAATATGGAAGTGAGTCTTGGGGTCTCGGTACTTCTTGGCAAGACCAAAGTCAATAACATTGACCTGGTTGCCTCGCTTGCCGATGCCCATCAAGAAGTTGTCAGGCTTGATATCACGATGGATGAATGATTTAGCGTGTATATATTCGATGCGGGAAATTAATTGGTCGGCAAGGAGCAACACAGTCTTCAAGGAAAACTTTCTGTTGCAAAAGTTGAACAGGTCTTCCAAACTAGGACCGAGAAGATCTAGGACCATGGCATTGTAGTCGCATTCGGTTCCAAACCAGCGGACGAAAGGGATACCGACACCACCAGCAAGAGACTTATAAACCCGAGCCTCATATTCGAGTTGAGGGTGCTTCGCCTTGACAGACTCTAGCTTGATAGCAATTTCTTCACCCGAGATGATGTTGGTGCCAAGATAGATATCACCGAACGAACCGGAACCAATCTTTCGACCGATGCGGTACTTATTACCGACGCGAAGATCCTGTAGCAAGTCAGCACCAGTCAGCTCACCTGCCAACCATATTCATGCTTTGAATACAACGAAACTCTTGCGAGGTAGGCTTCCGAAGACGCCTTCATGCTGACTATAGGGGTGCCCCATCAACACACACCGACATTCGGACCCCACTATCTAGACAGGAATCAAGACAATCCATAACATGATCCGGCACCAGATATGATCATGATAACTAAATTAACAACATACCATCGTAGTCATGCTGGTTATTGGGGTTGAGCTACCAAGCTCGACAAAGGTGGATTAGATAAACACAGAAGCCGGGCTTCTGGGATTTAAATCGACTGGCTGGGTCGATATGAGGGTTTATCGAGACTGTTATGGTCAACCTGTTCGAATCGAAGTTAGCAAGACAATATTCACCTAACAAGCAGCTATGGTTGTTTGATTTGGTATTCCGAAATGGTCTAGTCAAGATGGTTTTGGAACGTACAAAAGCAGCAGCGACGGTTTGTGACAATAAAGAGTGGCAAAATAGTAAAGTGCGTCTGGAATTAAAATCAAAGGGTAGGCTAGATAAGCCGACGAGACAAGTAGGAAAATGGACTGCTCAAACTCTCAAACATAAAAGAACTTAAAGCGATTGCTGAGAATCGACTGAGGGCTTGGAATGGAATGGAGGGTTCCGACCGAGAGCAGAAGTACGGAGAAAGGATATGTTTGTCTTACCTGACGACCTGGCGTTTGTAGTTGGCTGTAACCAGCAGTGTACTGGCGTCAAAGAAAATGGAAAATGGAAAATGGGAAATGGATGGAATGAATAGTAAGAGAGAGGGTGGAGGGAAAAGATAAAAAGCAGAAGACGTGGCCGTCGAATATCGAATTAATTTCGCCGGTCAAGTAACACGTCTCAGTCGAATACGACGGCGAGTGGGTGTATGGGAAAGATGGAAAGTTAGTGGTTAGGTTCGGTAGGGGAAGAGAGAAAAGGAAGAATGAGACGGCGGTGGACGAATTTGGCTGAGTGGAGAGGGATGGGCTGGAATGGAATGGGGTTGGGCGCGCCTCATGAAGCTGGGCAGGACCGACCTGGTACTGATTGGGGTTTTGGCGCGCTGAAAGTGGGTGCAAGTGTCCGCTGGTTTGCTGGTTTGCTGGCTGGGTCGATTGGCTGTGTCGACTGGCTACATCCTAGGCTCAACCTGTATGTACTTTAGGTACTTAAGTACATACTTTCAGTGGGCAAATGAACTAAGGCAACTGTGGCTGATAATTATAAGAGATGAGTTAGGTATGCCCAGGCTTGGGTACGGTACGCACTAATACCAGGTAGGTACAGTCATTAGCTTTTGGGGTAAGTATCTTTTCACCGCCGTAATGCCGTACAAGCTGCGTACATGTAAGAGGTAAGTACTACCGCTAAGTACATAAGGCATGTACCTAATCCGCATGTATCGAAGTCTACATGTATCATTTTTACGAGCGGAATTGAGTTGGTGGGTTGCTCAATGGTCCTCAATAACCCTCAGCAACCGGATCGCTAGTTTCAGAATATCAGAACCGGCAGTTGCTTCTGCCATCGTTAATAATCTTATTGTTTTCTTATATTCTCTCATCAAATCCTTGCAATGAACACGCCGTAAGCAACCTTAAATGCAACAACCGTTAGATCGTGTACCTAAGTCTTACAAGAAAGAAAGCATGCAAAATGACAACCGACGCATCCGTAGCGTTGTTTATTTTAAGGCGTCCAGATTGCGAAGTGTAAAAATCTAGCCCCAGTCCTTAATTGGGGGGCTCGATAATTCAAGTGTTGAAAGGCGCATTGTTCAAAATGCATTGTGAACGGTAATAATTCAATTTCGGATAGCTCCATTCCTCTCGAACCAATAGTATAGGGAATTCAAATCAGACCCTAACGAGGGAATCAGCTACGATCAGCTACTACATGTATACTACACATCTAATACTACATATACTACTATCACTATCTATACATGCGCACTATGTAGTGCGCATGTACGTACGTACGTGCATGTACCTAATACGTCGGAGCAGAGCACAAGGGGATCACGAGGAGGATCACGAAAAGGCGCACCAAAGTAAGTACGTATCCGGATAGGAAGCTCTGGCCTGGAAAGCTCTGGCCTGGGAAGCTCTGTATATTCAATCGATGGAAGCGGCATTTTCAAATGCCCAAACCAAAGCAGCAATCAGCTATTTACTTATTCACAGGCTATTGTTGTTATTTGTTAATATTTACAACATTTAGTATTTATCAGAACTTTTATTATTTACCTAAGCATTAAAAAACCCCCATTCTCCCAAATTTGCATCGCGAATTCATGCCTCATGCGGAAACCAGATTAAACGCCTAGTACCTAGTATGACACTCCATAGAGATCGACGGATAGAACCCTTACGCTGACCGTGCACTGATTCCGTGGGCTACAATGAGATTCTAATGTAATAAGTTTTCATGCTACGAAATACGTGCCATATACCATATAAAAGACATCGTCAACCAAAGTAATTGATATTCCCCCCTTTTTTCCGTTAAGGACTTTAAGATCTCATTAACTTAGGTAGGTTGAAGTCTTAAGGGAAGAGTATGTATTACACTAGTGTTCGACGATCCAAAAATAGCTTGATCCACTGGGCGGCAAAGGATTTTTTTTTTTTTTTCACAAGTTCACAATTTCCGATTCTTGGCCTAAAGTGGCGGCGACCTGCGACGCAACTTGACATCACAAGCGTATTCTCTCTGTCTTGCCTGGTGAAACTCGGTTTCTTTTTATGCCATGTCAGCTTCGAAATGGAAGGGTCATTCTATTAACCCTTTTTTTGCATGGTAACTTTGACAACCCCCCGATCCATTCAACGGTATTACTTGCAGCAGCAGCAGCACGTCAGCTACTGGTCATCTGTAAATTAACCGAACATCTACATATAAACTAAGACATATAAACCAAGATGTGATGGAAGAGGCTTGTCAAAATATGTACATTCTCTACAAGATTCAACATTATGTATTTACCTCCTACGTTTGTGGATTTATCTGTGTAAATTTAGGTCGTAAGAGCTTCGGTTATCATACGACATTGAAACGGGGCATTTGATGCCTAAAAATATACATTGAACGGCTTGCTAGTTATGTAAATCATAAGATGGAGGTAGAAAGATCCGGTAAGCACCGATCACCTCTGCTGCAATATGCCAATCATGTTAATACATCATCATCATCATCATCATCATCATATACGTGTAAATTTGCCAACCCGTAAGCAACCGGCTTCATGACCTAAGACAAGCCATGCTTGCGCACTTCGCTGCCATGTATTACCAGCCCACGTCTTCAAACGTCTTCACAACCTTATCGAGTACCACCAGCGTGTATTGTGATATTATAGTTGCATCCAATTGCCTCGCTCGCTGTTATTAAGGCAACCTTCTTTAGTTTCTTACCGGCTTCCTAGCCGCGGGCCAGATATTTGAAAACGGCGCGCCGAGCCAAGTTCTAGCTCAGTCGAGGCTCTGCTGATCTCGCATCTAGACTACTTCGATCATACCGCAGATCCAAGAGAAAAAAAAAAAAAAAGAAAAAAGGAAGAACCGCGACTTCGGACCAAGGTCCACCCCTATTACGCCTCACGGATGCTATCAATCAAGCTCTCGGATCTCTCCCCGCTTTTCTGCATAGTACTTCTATTATTATATCCCAGAGGAGTTCCTCACCGAAATTCCAGCTAGGTATCTTACTGTACCTAACGTAGCGCACGGGTAACCATCCCTAATTCTGTCTTCTGTCTCCTGTCTCCTGCAGGCTATGATGCAACTAAGTAAAGTCATCTTGGCTTAATACGCAATTATCTACCTAGGTTAATTCTTACTTGGCCCCTATTGCGCCTTTTATAATGCTCTAACCTTGACGACCTATCATCATTCTGAATTGGCAAATTTAAGTAGCATTGGTGCAGCACTCTTGCATTCAAAGGTATCATCATTACGGTCCATTTTAATCACTATTTACATCGTAGGACAATAGTCAATAGACATGCAAGCCTATTGTCAATGCAGTTTCCTCTCCCCTATGCGTACTCTCTTTCAAGCAGGTAGAAAAGGTATAGCTTTCAGAATGATGAAGCCCAACCGTAGCTATCTGTCCAGGAAACATGTGTTCTGATTCGCTTCAAGGGATATGCATGTTCGTCGTGTTAGATCTTGTCTTCCACGTATACCCCGTGAGCGTAAAGTATTTCACGACAGTTATATATACCTCATAGCCAACCCTGGTGGTTGTAGACATGTGTTAAGGGCATGTCCCTTAGCTTCTTTAATTCGCAATCGAAAAGTAAACAATAAGTCCTACCGAATATGCAGGAAACTTCCATGACACTAGGTATTATTCTTAAGACTACCTCTATATCTTGACGTATGATTAGTTATCTTTGTATTCTATTTCTACACGACATAGAAACATGTATCAGGTCAGCATGTTTCTTCCTGCCAGATATGAAACTGATTTATTAAACTGGAGATAGCCTTTGTATCTCGTTCTAGCAGGCTGTATAACCCTCCAAAGAAAAATGCACTAACTAGTGACACAACGACATTAAGAAATACCACTTCGGTATACTAGGTTAGGTACATTAGGCTACGATCATAAATCTGCCGTGTAGATATAACTTAATTTCCCAACCAAGAATCTCAAATGAATTACATGACAAGCAAACTGATTAAATTAGCTACTTTACTCTCTAGCATATGGCATTATGTCAAACAGCACAAGACAGCAACTACCCAGCAATGGTAAAGGGGCTTGTGCTCCTCAACCACCATTAAACTGGAAACCTCACCAGCCGGCCATACCTCCCGTCCCTAATGACAGAAGGCATGCTGCCCTTCAAGGTGGTCCTAAGATGGCGCTCCCGGCACAGAGTTGGAGGAATGTCAACCAAGCTATCGAAAAGACAGTAGATATAGTCTTGAGTAAAAAGATGGCCCTGAAAGGCTTTGGACCTGACTGCTGGGAAATGGACGAAGGTTTTGGAGTGGCCCTCGTGGCGGAAATAAGACGAGAAATCAAAGAGGATTGCACATTAGATAACCCCAAGCTCCAGAAGAAGCTAAAGGAAGTGGCTCGTGATGTAACAGCAAAGGAATTCCGGTTTCCGCTCAAGGGTGGTGGGGTCTGGTTTTGGTTCAAAAGTGAGTTTACTTTCATCCCCCCCTATAACTAGTCTTGAGAGACAGGATTTTCACCAAGGCCCATCTCCAAAATAAGGCAGTCATTGACATACTACTGTAGTAACCGATCTTCATAAAGCTACCCAGCCGTTAACCGAAATCCAGCAGACCAACACTTCGTCAGGGGCTGACACAATTCTTAAAGGTACAAATGACAAAAAGGAAGCTGCAGCTGGGGGGGAAGATTCCGCTCAACAGAAAAGAGAACCTGCTGTTGAAGAGACCTCATCTGAGTTACATTTTGACTCATTGAGTGTATAAAATGTAGATAATTATATCCGTATCCTTTCATGGTGCAAGTCAAGGTATCATAAGTACCTAGATATAGTAATAATTACATGTGACCCCCTCTAGAACTGTCACTGAAAAGTCCAATATACAGTTCAGTATATTCGCCGCCTTCGAAGACATCCGCCCTGATTGTCGTACTGTGTGTGATAGACAAAGGAAACCCCCTTTCTAATTTCTATACCTCAGTATAAGAGCATAGTAGTATCCCTATGATCGCTTGATGCTTTGTGTATACTTCGATAACAATGCTCGTGTTAGGATAACTAGGCCTTGTAGATAAAATAGAGATAGCCCCCTTTGTTATGTTGAATGCGGTAGTAGCTTATCCCCTCTAATATGGATTGGTACAATATTAAAAGACAAAGGATAGCCTACCGACTCCTAAACTCTATATCCAAAGATCTATTGTTTACAAGGTGAATATTAGAAGCTAACAAGAATCAATCTTCTGCAGTATATTTAACATTCCTAGAAGTCTTTAAATACCTACTATTCAATATAATATACGTAAGAAGACATATCATCGAGGAGGTGAGCATTAGAGAGCTATAGAGATATAACAAATACTCAATCATAGTCACCACACCATAACTTAGATCTAGTTCCGCAATGTCAAGCCGGGCGCAGGAATGGGCAGACCAATGCGAACTGACAGTTCGCAAGATGTACGTAAACCAAAAACAACCCCTTTAATATCTTCAACCCCCTAAACTTCCCAGGAGGTATCATTACTAACTCTAATTGTTGATCAGAATAAAACGCGGGTTCTCGATTGAATCCCTGTACAGGATGTCAAGCATCGAGCTTGGCAATGAGCTCAGAACTGGCGTGATCCTGGTTATCTCGAGTGGTAATCGAGCGGTTTACAATGTCGACTACCGAGACCCGGGTATTAGAGAAGGACTCCTATATATGGCACGACACGGATTGGACGAGAAAATGGTCATATACGGATTGGGCTTTCAGTTCAAGGCGGTTTATTAGCTAGTACTATTGGGATTGAGGGACGTAGGTTTTCCTTGAATTTACTGGGATATGAGGGTCTGGTGCTGGAAAAGGAATGCTCTAGTTGTTCAGTCATAATACATCTATTAAATTTACGCCATAATATTTAATAATAGGTACCTGTTCAAAGAGAGCGCGAGCTCGTGGTTGTGCCATATAGCGTATTGTGATAAGTACCTACACAAAGGCGAGATGTGTAGATGATAACGTACGGAGTGAGCAATATCGCATACTGTCTAAATAAAATCAATCAATTATGACGTGGTTAAGACTCGTATCAAAGAAAGGGTTTGCCGTAATCCCGCAGGTATCCAGTGCCACTTGATGGTTTCTATGCAATATATAATTGCAGAGAACGGATATGTCAGGAGGCCAGTCCACTTAGCAAGGCTCTGAAAAGGGGCGGCGATGTCGAGCATAGATCTGCCACGTCAAAGGCCATGGAAAGGTCAAGGACATGCTCCATCCAGTATGCCTGACTTTCTGTTCAGCATCGAAAATCCCGTAACGCCCTTGATTGCCGATAGGAATGCGGATCTCAGAACTGACACATAGCAGTCGTGCCAGTTTCAACTCCTGTTCCTAGCGAGCGGTAATAAGGCTCATATAAATGCCCCAGCCAACACCAGCAAGACTACCGACTAGGTTGCGGCCCTGAATGCTTGTAATAAAGGCAAAGTTGATCAAGCTTATGACTGGCCACACCTTCCATCCAGCGACAAGGAGCTCGTAGAACTCAGCGCGGCTACGAGCGACGACGCTCGCCCAATTGACTTTACTATAGTCGACAGCACCACGGGAAAATAGATACTGGGCGCTCTTCGCCGGGCCGCTAAGTGGTGCACCTAGGGGTCGCAGCATAGCGTCTTGGATGGAATGTATAAACAGGCTGAAGAGAAAGGTGTTGACGACCGCGCCGACGGTTTGGTCTAGAATCATCTTGATGGCCGTGTTGCCAATGTGAAGTTTACGTTCTACCAACTTGCCCTCTTCCTCTTCTTTCTCAAGCGCTTTCTCATCGTTTGCTGCCGCGGACGCCACAGCGGCGGACGTAGGCGTTAAATGGTACGCCGGAAAGGAGTCCTCTATAAACTCTTGCCTGGCGGACGGTTAGAATAGAGCGTTTATAAGGACTCGACGTATTATATTCCCGTAGGACCAATGCGACTTTAGACGTACCATAGGAAGTTGGGTGGTACATTGAGAAATGCGTAAAGGACAAATTGGAAGACTGGCACCCAGTCGATAACAAGAGGAACCTATAGATTGCGTTAGTTCCAGCCTAGTAGAATGTTTACCAAGAAAAGTACCTAATCATGTTCTTTGTTTTGAAGGAATCAACTCATACCTCATTCTGATACGCCGTCAGGCCTTGCGCCAGAAGGTTAGACGTAGCCGCAAGAACCGCAGATTGAATAGTAGCTGTGATAATCGGAGAGAACGCCATATCGACGTATTTGAGTGTTGCCCGCTTGACTAAGAATCGCACTTTCGAGAAATTCGTATATTTGCTGGCTCAAATTTGAGAGAGGAATGAGACAAACAGGTGAGATCCTAGCTTGGGCAGAGATGAGGTTACACGTATGTATATATATACACGTACGTATATAAATATAAATAAGTCTTGGTTGTTAGTTTGATATTATTGGTTTGCTTACTTGGGCACGTAGGATGACGAGGTAGGAATCCAAAATGTAAAGACCGTCAAAATTGGCAAAGACCAGATTTACCAAAAGTCGGTGCATACATGGATAAGGGATCTAACCAACCAACCACGAGCTTCTGCCGCGAAGCCTCTGCCATTACTGTTGTTACGACATGCATGTATAGAACACTAGTTATTCAATAGCACCTTTGAAGAATTATTTTATTTTGTTTCGAAGGGTGGTATATAGCCTTGATCTTACTTCACTACCGTATTCTTTAATTGGAGCGAAGCCTATAAGAGCCAAGATTTGTTGCTTCTATACAACAATATCTTCAAGTATGAGAAATGCTAGGTTTGTTAGTCTTTTGGAAGCGCTCATCACGAATCTGGGAGAGCTGTTATCAGAACGTGACGGGCGTATCTACGCCCTGCTAAGAATCCACATAAATAGAAACTGTACAAGATACGAGTAAGCGAACAAAAATTGTGTCCGCTGGTTTCGCTTTGTCCGTGTGTCTGTTTGCATCGGACCTCGTGCATCCCCTCCAGAGCTCTCTGGTAGTAGAACATATCGTAGCGACCGCATCTAACCATACATTATTAGTGTTGTTAAGATAATAACCCCCCGAAAGGACCGTACTCACCAAAAATAGGGAATTTGCTAGAAATGTGTAAAAGAAGACTGCCCACCCGATCCAACCGCCAGTTCCCTTGCCCCCATTCATGAGCTCGGCGATGGTGACTGTTACAATGATACCGACGAACTTGTAGCCTGAGTAGGCTACAAGGTCTAGGAGCTGAGACTCGTTCGAAATACTTAGAAAGTAGCACCCTAATTTCAGGAGCAATATCTCAAGTATGACGACGACTCCCGCGGTAGAAGCTGTATATCCTAGCAACTCGGGCTGGAACTGACCCCGTAAACCTGCTATCAGTGTTGATAATAATATATATGTAACAAGTGCCATGACTGGAATGTACATGTCGGGGCTGTTGATATCGTCGCGCGGTGGTAAGTACCAGCCCTCCTGTCCGTTGGGTCCTACGGCTTGCCTTCGCGACCAAGGCTTGTGGCGCCAAGGGAAGAGCACTAAGAAGAGCTTGTTGATGACATATTTGTTGGAAACGTTAAAGTAATGCTTGAGAGCGGAGAAGTTGACCCATCGGTTCATCTGATAGCACATGTGTCAGTAGAGGTATAAGCTCCACTTTGGGCCTGAGTTGTTTGCAACTAAACCTACATTCTGCTCGACGTGCTTGAAAGCATTTTGGCCGACTGTTCCTACGAACTGAGCGGCCATAGGATCATTCATGAAGTTGCCATATGTGCCAAAGACATTGCTACCAGCGGTGGGCGTTCCCTGCTGGTAAGGATTTCCATATGCGCCCTGTTGTTGGGGTTGCGACGACGTTAGAGGCGGCGGTGATCGTAACTGTGGAACGGTAGAGACGTGTTGAGGTACGGGATGGTGAAGCGGCGGAGAATGGCCGTAGTTTGGATGTTGCTGCATCTTGGATCTTGGATCTTGGTCTCGACCTCGAAAAAGGTTATCAAGGTTTGCCGAGTTGGCTTGTCGGCTTGCTGGATTGTTAAGCTCGGATGAGTGAGAGGGCTTAGTATTACGGCGCTAGGATGCTAGGTGTGAGCTTCGAGGGCTCGAGTGCTCAAGGGCTCAAGGGCTCATTGGCGACTTTGTTCTGGAGATGTGTTTTTTATTTTAAGAGGGTTGTACAAGTACTAAATTACGAAATGTTGTACGTATATATGTACATATGTATGTTGCAGCTGTTGCAAGCTGCCGCGTCAGACCCACTGTTCCGAGATTATTCCATTTTGAAACTACTTACCGGGTATGTAGGTACCTGATGCACCTGGCAGCCTGGTTCACTCCCATTGGCACCTATGACGTGCCGGAGCCGCAATAAGGTTTAATTCCGAGTAACCCAGTCTCCGTAATCGGGCATCGATTGGTTCGATTAAATCAAATGCATGGATACATCTGCAGTTTGCCAGCTGGAAGCTCTACAAATGTGCATATTTGTACCTAAGGTACTGCCGTAGGTACATACGTATGCTACTTTTTTACCCTTGTGGCTCTTGTCGCCTTATAACAACTTATCGCTTCATCCGACCTTCAATTGATGTTAATAAGTTGGTTCGAGCAATCTCAAATGCGCAAGCCTCGGAAACTCTATGCTCTTCTTTTCTAGGTTGCTAAAAAAGTAAAAAGAAACTACCCAATATGTTGGATACATTTGAAATCCTAACGACCTCCGGGGTCGTCCTCTGGTCGCGAACCTATGCGCCGGTCAACCCGTCCGTTATCAATAACTTCATTTCCGATATCTTTATAGAAGAAAAGGGCGCTGTGGCCGGCGCAAGGAATAGTCAGCCCGCAGCCAGCAATCCATCATACAAGGCCGATCAGCATACCTTGAAGTGGACATTTGTGAAGGAGTTGGGCGTGATCTTTGTTGTACGGTGCTACTCCTACTTGATAATGTCCCTGTGTTATCTGACTGTTTCTAGGCTGTCTACCGGTCCCTACTACACCTCTCATGGATTGACAAACTTGTTGATAACTTAAAAACTATATTCATTGACTTATATGCCGATCAATTGAAGAAGCCCAATACTACGATCGTGGAATGCCGCAAATTCGACGAGTACTTTGATCAGCAATACCGAGAACTCGAGTCGAGCGGGTTTGCCAACACCGCACGACCGGCTGCTATTACTTCTCTATTAGAAGAGAATGTTATATCAGGCAATACTGGAGATGAACCCCCTCTTCCCCCGGGCCTTAAGCATAGAGGCAAAACGCAGAACAACCCCCAGGAACGTCCATCCACTGCCGAATCTACTCCGAATACTTCCCGACCTTCTACCCCTAGCGGAAGCCATCTGGTTGTAGCAAAGGGTGGTCCTATAGGGAAGATGTCAAGAAGAGCTAGAAGGATGAGAAACAGTTCCGCCCCCGTCTCCTCCGGCGACGAGGGACCAGCAAGGAAGGCAAAGAAAGCACCCAAGAAAGGTCGTAAGTGGGATGCCGATGGCTTTGCCGACGAAGAGGATGATAGCCTGCAACTAGATTACTCGGCAGCACAGAATACTTTGACAAGCGATAGTGAAGTGGATGCGGCTGCTCGGTCTACGGCTGGAGAGGGAGTGGACTCGTCTTCGTGGGGAACGAAGACTTCCAAGGGGCAATTCGTGCTAAAAGACTTAGATGATGAAGTACATTCCATCTTGGAGTCGGCCGAGGCGAAGAATACCTCAAAGGCGGGAACGAAAGGTGGCCTAGTCGGAACTGGGTTGAACACAATCAGCAGCCTTTTCCGCAACGTAGTTGGCGGTAAGACATTGACAAAAGAAGATCTCGACAAAGCTATGAAGGGGATGGAAGACCATTTATTACGGAAGAATGTTGCCCGTGAGGCAGCCATACGGCTTTGTGAGGGTGTTGAGAAGGAGCTTCTTGGCGTTAAGACGGGCAGCTTTGAGAGCATCGATGCACGCATCGCTAAAGCCATGGAAGCCTCTCTCACTAAAATGCTTACACCTACCTCATCGTTAGATCTCTTGCGCGAGATAGACTCTGTCATCAAGCCCCCCATGACATCAATGCGAAAGCCGAGACCCTACGTTATCTCTATAGTTGGAGTCAACGGCGTTGGCAAGTCGACGAACTTGTCCAAGATTTGCTACTTCCTGCTGCAAAACAAATACAAAGTACTAATTGCAGCTGGAGATACCTTCCGATCAGGAGCGGTAGAGCAACTAAAAGTCCACGTGCGAAATTTGAAGGAGCTGACCGAACGTGAAGGTGGTAAGGTGGAAATTTTTGAAAAGGGGTATGGTGGTGATGCTGCCACGGTCGCCAAGGATGCTGTGAAAGAGGCCGCCAATGAAGGGTTTGATGTTGTGCTCATCGACACAGCTGGACGACGACACAATGATCAGAGGTTGATGTCGTCGCTAGAAAAGTTTGCTAAGTTCGCCCAGCCCGACAAGATTTTAATGGTTGGCGAGGTAGGATCTATTAAATACCCCCTACCAAATGACCACCCTGCTAATTTCATGGTAATAGGCACTAGTAGGAACAGACTCGGTTGCTCAAGCAAGGAATTTCAACTCGTCTTTTGGTCCTGGCCGAACGCTTGACGGGTTCATTATCTCCAAATGCGATACAGTCGGCGACATGGTAGGAACTTTGGTCAGCATCGTCCATGCCACGAATGTGCCCGTCTTGTTTGTTGGTGTTGGACAGCATTATTCAGACATCAGGAACTTTTCCGTCAAATGGGCAGTGGAAAAGTTGTTGAGTAATAGTTAATTCGGCGATCTACTAATATCGAGAGGGGTTTCCCATAATATCTATAAATTCATAATATAAGAAGCCCTGTCCACCATTGGACTCCCCCGTATTTACGCTAGAACCAGAAACAAATTACGGATGCTAATGAGGAATAGAACCGTGTATTATTAAATCTGGTTGGAAAAGGACTATCGACTAGCGCTAAAGACTGCCGCGTGGAGTCCATGTCCTCCCCTGGGGGGAGTAAACTATAAAACTCTTGCTGTCGATATTCTCCGGTATGGCAACTTGCCTCCCCGCATCGATCATGGTCCAGTAGTCCTCCGTTCCTGAAGTGAGATCATAAAATTCACCACGTCGATCTATAGCGGTCATGCTAGAAAATGTAACATTACTGAAGATCGGGAGATCTGCTCTGTCTTTCGCGATGACCCATTCCTGGAAGAACTGAGCGACACCAGAGCCAAGGCAGATCTGAAACTTTGGGTCCTCAGGTGAGTCTGCTTCCACTTCCGCTGCATATTCTTGGCCGGTGCGGAGGTTCTTCATATATCTTTCGGAAGGCGTTAGATTATTATCATAAATACGGATATTTAGAATGGCAGTCGGGGAGGCTTCACTTACACATGGCCCAATATGCGAGTGTACACATTTACTACCACGATTATCTGGTCACCGGGACTGACCGCAAAGCCTTCCTTGGGGATGGGGTGGGCTCCGGCTGGAAACCACTCGACCCAAGCGCCCGCAACGGTCGCGCCATGCTCGTCCATCTAATGTTGGGAGACAATTAGCTAACTCCCTCGTATTTCAGAACCCCCCCTCCCCTTTCAAACAAACCCCTCAAACAAAATACAAGAAAGGAAGCCAGACAGAACAACTTGTTTACCTCGATATTCGTCCCAGCTTGGAGAAACGGGTACCAGTTCTTATTAGCACAGCCGTTCCCAAGAATCCCGACCCACTGTGCTAGAGAATGTCGGTTGTTTGGGTTGCTGAGGTCTATATTGTCGGATGCCTTACCCCATGGTACATTCCATTCGGCGGAAACAGTGCGTATGGAGGGCAGCTTGTCTTCTTTCCCTGTAGTTTCGGTTTGGTTCACATTTATCACGGCGCCTCCAAGGAACGAAGAAACGTATTTGCTCATGCCTAGGCCGATAGGCCATCTTCCTCCAGGGGAGCCGCTAACAAGGGCCGCAAGCGTGCAGAAGCACAAGGGCGCAATACTTGGTACGTGCATGGCGAAGATGTTTTTGTATTTGGTTAGATGAGGCAACGTAAAAGAATGGAGGGAAACGTAAAAAATATATAAACAAAAAGGGAGCCACATTCGAAGTTTGAAGCTTTGAGCTAGAGATTACACGGTACCCAACAGTCACTACCCAGGTACTCGTATATGTTCGTCATTAATTGTTTATATTAGTTTGCCCTGACAGCGGTCGCCTAGGTGGATAGGATTTATCATCTCGTTACTAAGATAAACGAGACACGTATATCGAAGACCATATTCCACACGTGTGTTATCCTAGTCTTTCGGGTCTGAGTCACTTTATATCAAACCTGACAAACATGACGAAATACAGGACCTACTAATGAAAAAAGGCGGGCATCAGATAAGGAGAGGCCTTGGTGTAAATCAACGCGATCAGTTTCGTTCCCTCCTATTCATTAGTTACTATAAGATCTGAAGGCGAGTGCCCTTATAGCCCTTTATTTATGTTGTCATTATCGTAAGATCCGATAGATATACCTGTCAGGATAATTAGTCGCAGTTATTTACCTTGTTATCCCAGATAGCACTACTCCCTTAACCTGTGCTTATCCAGTATGTCGTACTTGCTATTACGGTATCCCGAGATTATAAAGCTGCGAAGCCTATCGAGTAGGCTACGGTGTAAATCGCAAATGGTACACACTAAACCTAATATAAAAGCCATAAGTGTCGCTTACGATCTCACCCCTGGTAATGAAAAGGTTTAACCTCAAGCTAACGGGGTAGTAAATAGACCATGGGTACAAATACAATGGCTCGAATGGACCCCGAAACCGCCTGCTTCTTAACTTACCTAGATGGGATATGCGTAATGGAGAAGCAGTAAACCCCTTACGTCCACGATTGTGGCGAATGGGGTAAATAGATGTCTCATAAATAACGAGTATGTAGTTTATATGATGGACTGTTAAAGGTTAACCCTTACACGGATAGGTAGTGATCCATATGGAAAGCTCACGAAATCCAATTTACATGTCGATATTTATATGGGTATGGCTGAAGTAAATTGCTATCTAGAAATACCCCAGGTAATCCCGGGCAAGTTCATACTGGGGCTAACATGGCTTGCTTATACCGAGTCCTGCATGAACAAGGAACGGTGAACTTAGTATAATTATAGGCCCTTAATAAGTTATTAGATAGTTTAGTAGCCACTGGTGAGAGCAAGCGCTTTGCTAAACTGTA